ATTTTGATGGCTCATAAGGCTTAGATTTTTAGGATTACCTATTCGATTACGGGTTTAGATTTTGAGTTTGGGTTAGATTGGGACAAAAGAGGTGACTTGGGTTTCGTGGATTCGTAAGATAGGAGAAAAACTAAGGATTTAATGTTGTATAGAGATTCGATTCTCGGTATTCTAGTTCAATTTTAGGTTTTCATTGAAGATCGGGACTCGGGTAGAGGTAGAAAATAAATCTATGATTCGAGATTCATGAGATGATGGGGAGAAATTAGCCAAGGTTTTAAGTTGTTTTCCGAAAAGAGGCGAGCTAAGGATTCAATTTTGAGGGAAAAGGAGATTGATTGAACAAGAGGGAGAACACGAACTAGGTTAGGGTTTCGGGCTTGAGAGAGAATAGAAGAGATCGAGAGGAGATAAGTAATCTAAGGATACGGCTTTGAGAAGGAAAGATAGATTAGATTTTGGGTTCAAAGGAGAAGAGACCGGATCATTGAAGAGAGATTAGAGAGGGAACAAATAATGCTAGGATTGAAGAGAGATGGGAGAACGACAGAAAGGAATGAGAAGAGAAAGATGATTTCAAAGGCTTTGATTTGTTTTGATTTGGGAATGAATGGGAAATTTGTTAGAGGAATTATGATATTGGTCCGTTTGAATTAAAATAGAAAAGCTTGCGTGAAAGGTTAAGCGGGCTTGGTGAAACCCGACTCAGTATGACCAAGGCTTAGGCCGATTTCAGCCAAGCCTATGTTTGAAAAAAGTGAAAAAGGTTGGCTCGCTCAAAGAAACCGGCCCAGTGGGCCTAAAAATCGCAATACCCTTAATTTGGTCCTTTTCCTGGATAAATTAGTCTTGAAATTTTTAATGCATGCCTTTTATTGTTATGCTTGGTTTTAGATTTAATTGTTATAATTTTTGAGTTCTTGTATTTATTTACTTATTTAGCTAGTGTTTAATTTTAGGTTTTATTTCGATAGTTAGATTAAATAATTAATAGGTGGATGAATCATCGAGTTTCCTAATTTTTAGAAACTTATAACAATTTACCACTAATAAATAACTAAATAAAATGATAAAAGAAAAAAAAAGGGAGATAAAAAAAATGAAAAGAACAAAAGAAAAATAGATAAAATGCTAGGTGAGAAAATTAACAAAGTTTCTCATCTAATAGGGATTGATGCTACCTCAAATCGGTCGAGTTTTTAATAATTAGGTCATTTTCCGACATGTCGGTTATGTTGAGACTTAAACTAGATCCGATGTTGAATTGACGAGACTTTTGATGACGAGGTGCGACGATTGATTTAATATGAAGCCACAAACAAAATAAAAAAATTAATTTATCTTAGGAAATAAAACTTGAAATTTTGATTTAGGATCAATTTTGGCAAAAATATAAATTTTTAGAAGAAAAACCGTAGAACTAAACCGGACGTGGTATTTTTCCTATAAAATGATATTTTTCGGTAATTGATATCTTTCTAAAAACATAACCAACTTCTTACGAGTAGAATCTCCGAACTAGTGTCCATTTTAGATTTTTAATTACTTTTAATACTATGTGACGACTTTAAAATCAATAATAACTCATATCTCTAAATAAATAAAATTTTTAATATAAATAATCATAAAAATTTTTAAGAGTTCCATGAACTCAGTAGCAACACTTGCATAAATCAAATAAAACAAACAGGTCTAAAGGTGATGAAACAAATCATCTTTGTCAATTTCGTAGTTGTGTGAAGTTTGCTGCTGGATCGCTTTCATTTTGGCACCAAGCCATCAACATTTTATAGCGAAGTCACATTCACGACCTTTTCATCTTGAGTAAATGAATGAATTCCTGATTTTAATGGTTTCTACATAAACATCCAATCATTGAAAATAAGTTCTTTTTGTTAATTTTTATATAGATCTTCCATGTTAAAATAGGAATTCAAAAAACTTTTCTTGAACTTGAGTTCGAAATGACAACGTAAAAAAAATCCACTCTACATTCAAAACGAAAAAAAATGAAAGGCATATTGTCCAAATCAATGTGGTCAATTTTGAAGATATCTTGAATTACAAACTTGAACTTAGGTAAAATATCCAAAAGGTGAAAGCTAATCCACCACGTAGCAATTACTTCATCAAAAAAGTTGGATTGACGTAATAGGAAGGAGTGATGCCACCCTTTTAACAAATCATAACCCATATTATTGGCTTTTGCAAAATAATAGCATGTGAATTCAGTCAAGCCTCGCAACCACTTAACAACTCCAACCCATTGGACACCAACTCCTCAACATCATGTGAAATCATGAGTTAGCAACAAGCATTATTTTGTGAACTCAAAGAACAAGAAGACAAACAACTCCCCAACTTGGAGTTCTTAAGACAACAACTGGAAAAGCCAAGAAATTCTCTCACTTTTATTTGTGTCCTGTCCCCATATTCCTTCACAATTTTTTTTGGTTCCCACATAGTTCTGTTTTTGATAAATGTTGCGCATGTTTCTAAATTTTTTTATAGCAAAATGTGTTTTCCAACATTAAGCTAAGATAAACATGATTTCATTTTTGATTGACTAGACGGATCTCGTATTCCATTGTTATGTTTTCTCGATCAAATTTGTCATGTCATGCATCCTTAGGAGATTAATTCGCGTTGATTGTGAAATAGACTTACGATAGATAGATTAAAGAGAGGAGTTAGGAATAGTTATTTAAATTCAATTCACTGTTTTTTTTTTTTTTAATTCAATTCACTTCAAAGTGAGAGATTAAAAAGAAGGAAATTAAGAACAAAAATCTACATAAACTATTTTAGACAATTAAAGAGTTCATAAAGAAAAGTAATAATTTCGAAGAAAAGCTTAATTTTTGTCTGTGTGTATATATATACATATAAACACAACCGGCATTCAATTCCAAAAGCTATGAGAACATGATTTCTCTTAAATCCCTTAACCCCAACATGAATGATCTATTTTTTTTATAAAAAAATTGAAGTTGAAAAAAAATGAAAAATTGTTCTGGATATCCTAAATTATAGTGTTTATTTTATTTTATTTATATATTATAACATCCTACCTATATTTTTAATATTTATTTCACTTAGCATCCTGTAATTTTTGTGTATATATATATATATATATATATAGTATTCAATCCCAAAAGCCATGAGAACATGATTTCTCTTGAATCCCTTACATGAATGATCTATTTTTTTATAAAAAAATCGAAGTTGCAAAAAAAAAAGAGAAAGAAAAATTATTCTGGATATCCTAAATTATAGTGTTTATTTTTTTTTTTATATATTATAACGTCCTACCTGTATTTTTAATATTTATTTCACTTAGCATCCTGTAATTTTTATAAATGTTTATTATATTATATTTTCGTTAGTTTTTGGTGAAAAAAAAAATCCAGTGTATTACCAAATTGTCACTATTCATGTGTTATAAAAGATTTGTTGACCAAATTATCCTGAAGGTATTGTTTTAACTTGATAAAAACGGAAAAAGAAAAGGATGCTGTATGACCTTTTTTTGTGCCTATTTTACTGTTGGGAAAGGCTTATAAATACCAAGATATTAAGGCCTTATTTCATGCTATCTTTTCAACTGTTTAGAACTCCAAAACGTCTAGCACAAGTTAAACCAATCATATTGTAGCAGGAAGACTAAATTTTGCAAATAGAAGGGGCTTCAAATGTGGTCAATGGGCAGCACTGAAAATTTCAGAATCTCATGGTAACAAACACACTTTATGTTTCAAGTGTGATGAACATTCTCGTGACGTCAGTTTTATCGATTGGTGCCGACGGGCAAATGATCATCCAAATATTGGAGAAGGAAAAACTGCTCGTGATATTGGTTCAGTTTCATTCCAAGTCCCAAAAAAAAAAAAAAAAAAGAAATGAATTACCCAAGTTTTGGATCAAAAATCGAAACCTAAAAACTATTTTTGCAAGTATTAAATCACTTTTAGTAGCAAGGTTTATAGGCAACGTAATTTAGAACAGAACTTAAAGACAACAGACTTCATTTGAAACAAGAAGTACTTAATCATAGGTAATAGATAGTGTCCAAATACAAATTTATCCCAAAAAACCAATCTAAAAAACTGACATATATACATCTATTCAAAACGGTTTAATGACATAATTTATTTCTAAATCACTAGAGTAGTGACAAAGTATTGATCATTAATTTAAATGCTTAAAACGTCATTGCTTTAAATATTTTATTTTTTTAGAATTAAAATTAGTTTTGAAAAAAATTAATAATAATTAGTTTTAAGAAATTTTAGATGATTTTCTTTGTTTATTATTTTGATTTTTTTATTGTTGGATAATTAATGATGTATAATGGATTTATGTAATAAAAAAATTGAATTATTAATTTTTTTGAGAATTAAATTTAATTTTTTAAAAATATAATAATAGTTAATTTTAAAAAAGATTAGATGATTTTGTTGTTCATAAATTTGATTTTTTTTTTGTTGGAAAGTCAATCATGCGTACTTGATCTATCTAATAAAAAAACTAAATTATTTTTTAAAATTAATTTTAATTTTAAAAATGTAAAATGCTTGAAACGTCAACACATTAATTAGTAGGATAATTTACATAAAAAATAGAATACTGGAATGTTATAAACACGTTCAGGGTACTATATGTAAATAAAACGATTTAGAAAAGGTAGGAAATCATAAATTCAAGAACCATACAGATGCTATACCGTTACAGCGTTAAAAGCAATGCAAACATACGCCATTAACTACTACCATACCAAAGCAAGCCAATAAGAAACGGACAACGCTACTTCGAACCTCCAAAAAAAAGAAAAAGAGAAAGAGAGAAAGAAAGAACGGAAAAAAACAGCTGACGCTCAGGCACTACTGCTTTCTATGTCTCTCTCTCTCTCATGCGGACGACAAATTTCAAGAGAGTTAAATGCGCTATGAATCCGCATTTCAACAGAAACTGAGACAAGAAATTCAAAGCAAAGAAGAAAAATGTTCAGGTTACACAAACACAAGTCAGATAAATTTGGAGACAGACTTAACTTCAAGTTCTCTAGCTTCCAGGCTCTTCAGGTCTCTTTTTATTTACTCTGTAGTCTCTCTCTCTGTCTCTCTTTTTAAATTTAAATTCTCTAATCTTTTCTTTTTTCCTCTTTGTGTCAGCAGTAATTCTTTTTAATCTGCTTTTCATTGAGGAAAAAATTCACTTGATTAGTGATGTTAAGCTAGATAGTTGTTTAGTTTTAGTGTTTTCCAGGCGTTTGTTGGTTAAATTCTTTACTTTTTACTGTTTTGCTTGTGGTGATTTTGGGAAATTTAGGTACCGAAAGGATGGGACAAGCTATTTGTGTATATAATTTCAGTAGAAACTGGAAAAACCCTTTCGAAATCGGGGAAAGGGTCGGTAAGGAACGGAAGTTGCCGGTGGACGGAGAGTTTGACGGAGTCTATTTCGGTTTCGGAATCTAATGCATCGGAGGAGATTGATGAATGTCTCTTCAAGTTTGTTGTTTCCATGGTATGATGAATGTGTGTAGAGTGATTGATAGATGTGTTGTTTGTTTAATTAGTGGCATTCATGTGTTTAGGTGGCATGTTAATGTGTGATTTGATTGAGTGGGATGGAATTGTTTGTGTAGGGATCATCGAGATCTGGCATCCTGGGAGAGGCTACGGTTAATTTGGCGAGTTATAGGAATGCTGAAACTGCTGTTCCTGTTTCGTTGCCGTTGAAAAAGTGTAACTATGGAACCATTTTACTAGTGAGTTGCTGCGGATTCTTTGCTATTTTGTGATTGCTAGTTGATTGCATGAGAACAAAATTTGTTGATTTTTTTAAACAATTACAGAATTTGTGTTGAAATCTCTGTTTCCCACTCCAAGTCTTTGTAGAAGCACATGAAGAAATGAGCAAAATTTGATAATGTAAACACTTTGGTGAACCTTACCGCCAAAAGTTCAGATATTTTCCAATGCATTACCTGAATCTTGATGAAATAAGGGAAAGTTAACAGATTTTTATTTGTTTGCTTCTTTACATAAAAGCTCGGATTGAATGTCAAGTTAAGCTTCCCCTAGACTATACCATTATTGACAGTCTATTGGTTGACCATAGTTTTCCTTGTGGACACGAAGCTCCAGAATGTTATTCTTTCACTGGTGTAAAATGTTTTGGTTTTTCTTCTGGCTTGCAGGTTAGAATTCAGTGCCTGACACCAAGAGCAAAACCCAGGTATGCAATTCAATGCAAAACTTGTAGTGTCACAGCATTAGTTTTATTATGTGTTTTGAATAGGGTGGTACGTGTTTTAAAGGGACGAACAGTTTGAAGAGACAGGTTCATATGCAGAGGATGTGATTGCTGTTGACTACAATGACATGGAAAACAAATCAGATGTTTCTGATAGTTCATTCACCAGGAGTGTTGGATCCTCATCAAGTAGTCATTTGGAAAATACATCTCGTACAGGAGAACATAGTAGGGTATGCTCTCAAGCTGTTTTACTGTTACGTGTACGCTTTAGAATTTAGCGCATTATTTTGCCATCTGCTGCTAGCCTTGTGAACAATAATCATTTGTCTTGTAATAACCTATTTTTAAATGACATGTGAACAACCATGAGATTATGGATTTTTTATTTTGATTATTTAATTATTTACTGCTATCTCTCTCTTCATTTAAGCTTAAGGACAGATAACAAGTTTATGAAAATAGGACATTTATTATTTACTTATTTGTAATGTACTAAGTGCTGCTGATATAACTATGGCATTCATCCCTACTGGCTTTTTGTTTACAAAATTCTACTGTGTGACCCAAGTCATTAGTATTTTATTAAGTATACCTGTCACAAGAAAGATCCAATTCTGTACATGTTTGCGTATATCACATAGCTAGCTGTGTTACTTTTTTGTGGATGTCACGGACTAAAACCAATGATCTCATGATTATAAAATATTATGAACCAATCACGCTTTACGTCCTCGGGTTTTGCCCTGGCTGTAAAAGAGTCTTTGGTTGCTTAGGAATCAGGAAACACGTTCACATCTATGGGGTATCAATTGGAGCTGGAGGTGGGTTTTAATTAATCAAGGAGCTGCATCTTGATATCTTCTGAAAAACTCTCTCTGTATTAGTTTTTACATTTGTCTGCTAAGAGAAGTATGCTTAACAAATTTGAGATGAGCCTTCTTGTTGTTCTTCTTCTAATGAGCACCACTGAACTAGTCTGGTACTTGTACTTATCAGCATTGGAAACATATCAATTATATATTTTTTTTAAAAAATTCTATATTGGTGTGGTTAACAAAGCCTTTGCTTGCTGCTGCAGGAATTGAGTTTCTCAGCATCAGGTTCACGCTATAGCTTTGACTCAATGGAAGGTTCATTAGATTATTCCCTGCAAAATAACTTAACTGGCACCATGAGCAATCATATTGGGAGACAAGATTCATCTGGCTCCCAGAACAGTTCTTATGGATCTTATTCCTTTAATGATTCTTCTAGATCAAATCATTTACCCTTTAATTCAACTTCACGTAGCCATCTTCAGAATCAAAGGGAAAGTCTTAATCAGGTTTCAAGAACTGTTGCCTCGTCACCATTACGGAATGCTGATTCATCTAAAGACCTTCTGGAAGCTGCAGAAGTCACAATTGAGGAGCTTCGGGCAGAGGCAAGGATGTGGGAACAAAATGCTCGTAGAGTAATGACTGATCTGGAAAAACTGCAGAAGGATTTATCAGACCAGTCAAAGCGCCGGGCAAGTCTTGAAATGGAGCTTTCAGAATCGCACAGAGAATGTGATGGCTTGAAGCAGGAGATTGAACAGCTGAGGATCTTGTTGGAGGAATCAATAGCGAAGCAAACAACCACTGAGAAGTTGAAGTTTCAGGCCAAAGAAATGGATAATTTTCAGAAAGAATTAGAAGACGAATTGAAGTTTCAGAAAGAGACGAATGCTAACTTGGCTTTGCAGCTAAAGAAAACCCAAGAGTCAAACATTGAGCTTGTTTCCATACTTCAGGAACTGGAAGATACCATAGAAAAACAGAAAATAGAAATTTCAGATCTGTCAAAGATTCAATCCAAAAGTCAGAAAGCAGGAAAGTATAACCATGAAGTCAAAGACAGCAAGGAGACAGAACCAAGCAAGAATTTTTTTGCAGAGGATACAAGAGAGGCCTTTTGTGATTCAGAGATGGAAGACAGTACCGTTGAACATGAGTTAGGATATTTACCCGTATGTTCTAAACCAGAGGGCAACAGGAAGCTCGAGTTGGAGTTACAGCAGTTGCAAGATTCACAAAAGAAGCTAGAGAGTACTATCCATTTTCTGGAAAGATCTCTGGAGGACAAAATCCATGCAATAGATGATGAGCGAAGTTTGAAAACTCAGACTCTAATGGATTGTGAAGCAGAATGGAGAGACAAATTAGCCATAAAAGAGGAAAAGATCACCGATTTGGAAGCAAAGTTATTTGAAGCTCTCAGCCCTTGTGGTTTTCAAAATGGAGGCGATCGCGATCTGATTAAAGACATTGAAGTTCTGAGACAGAGGATGGAGGAACTTGAAAGAGATTGCAGTGAGCTTACAGAAGAAAATCTAAAACTTCTACTTAAGCTCAAAGAATCAGAAAAGTATCCTCCAACATGTGGTGCGTCTACTAACTCTTCATCAAATGAATGTTTGGGGAATCATTCTTTCTTCAACTCCGAATCTGAAGTTAGAAAATTGAGATCCCAAATATGCAAGCTTGAAGAGGAGCCGATCAAGAAGGAAATAATTAATCAAGAACTCTCCACTGATCATTTGCAGATTCAGTGTGCAGATCTTGTAAAAATGTGTGCTGACCTGGAGCTTCAGCTGCAAGCTTCTAAGGACAAAATACTCTACCTTGATTCTGAACTTTGTAAACATCATGCAAGAGCAGAGCTACAGGAAATTGAGATTGCTACACTACAAGAACGGTTAGAACATTATGAAGAAATGGAAACTGGGGCCAATGACCATCCTGCAGACATCTGTACAGACGTCAAACTTTCCGATTCACATGCTACTGCTGAAATGGCCAAAACATTATCTGAGTTGCAGGAACACATTCGATCATGTCTAGCCAATGTAAAGAAGCAACAGTATGATCTTTGTTTGCCAGCAAATGGTGAATCTAGTTCTGCTTTTGATAAACCTGTGATTTCAAACTTTACAGATTTGTTTAATCAAAATGAGCAAGCAAAGGCTATTTTGAACAGTTTTGTCCAGCTAAAAGATCTGTTTGAAGCAAAATCTGCTTTGTCTAAAAGTGAAGTTCAGCAAAGTGAAAAAGTAAGAGCGGAAGTAGCGAATCCTGATGAGCTCTGGAACAATTTGGAGGCTTATAACATAGGGGAGAATAGTTTCAGCACTTCTGGTCCACGACCTGAGAGCCTGCGAATGGAATCTAAACCTGAAATGACAGATTTAGAAAAGGAGCTTTTAGAAAAGACATCTGACATGGATAAGCTTAATTCTCTGAAGGAACAAGAGATAGATGCTCTAAGGCGAATCCAAATGGAGCTAGAAACTCAGATTTGTAATCTTCAGAATGAGAAACAGCAGTTGGAGCAAAATCTGGAAGTTACGGTAAGAGAAAGCATGGTGACCTCAAAATGCTTGGATGATTTACGAAATGAAATGACAGTGCTTAGTAGTAACACGGATTTGCAGGCTTCAGCCAAGGAGATCTCGGAGAGGAGGTTGGCAGAGCTAGAAAGTGGCAAATTGGAACTGGAAGTTCACTTGTCTGAACTAGAAAAAGAAAACATACAATTATCAGAGCGAATATGTGGCTTGGAAGCACAGTTAAGATATTTGACCAACGATAGGGAACTGAACCTCGTGGAATTGCATAATTCAGAATCTTGTAATATGAGTCTCCGGGAAGAGATGAGAAGATTGGAAGGTGAATTGGAGGCACAAAAGGTTGATACGAAGCAAAAGCTGCAGGACATGCAAAAGCGGTGGTTAGAAGCTCAAGAAGAGTGTGAGTATCTGAAAGTGGCGAATCCAAAATTACAAACTACAGCTGAAAGTCTTATTGAAGAATGCAGTTTGCTTCAGAAATCAAATGCAGAGCTGAGGAAGCAAAAGATGGAGTTACATGAGCATTGCACAGTCTTGGAAGCTGAGTTAAGGGATTCTGAAAAGGTTTTTTCTGATATGTCTAAGGAAGTAGAAGCTCTTGAAGGGAAATATATTTTGCTGCAAGAAGAAATTGCCTCGAAAGAGCAAGCCCTTAGTATAGAACTAGATTCGCTTCTTCAAGACAACAAGAAATATAAAGAGAAACTTGCTATGGAAGAGAGCCTTCTGAATCAGACACACTTAGAGAAGACGGTTGAAGTTGGGAATCTTCAAAGAGAGATTGCACATCTGACTGAACAGATTTCGGCAACTCATGATGAAAAGGAAAGGACAGCTTCAGGAGCTGTGATTGAAGTGTCTCATTTGCGTTCAGATAAAGCTATGCTGGAAGCTTCTCTGCAAGAAGTGCAAGGAAAACTTGAATTATCTGAGAGCAACCTCAGTACCCTCCAGATGGAATCAGAGATTAGAGTGCTTGGACTTATGCATGAACTTGCTGCTTCCAAACAAAACCAGGAAGTTCTGATGGCTGATCATGAAAGGCTACTTGAATTGTTAGAAGACGTGAAATCCAATGAAGAGAAACATAAAAGCATTGTTAAGGGGCTGGAATTAAAACTTAAAGCTTCTGAATATGAAAGGCAACAAGTTACAGAAGAAACTTCCAGCCTTAAGATCCAATTGCAGAAGACATCACTGCTGCAAGATGAGATTCTGGGTCTTAAAAGATCACTTAATGAGGTCAAATTTGAAAATCAAAAGCTTGAAGCTTCATTGCAGATGTTATCAGGGGATTATGAGGAACTGAAGGCTGAGAAGATCCTGTCTATGCAGAAGATTCCTGACATGCAGAGAGCTGTTGCTGAATTAGAAGACTGCAAACGTAGTAAAGTTGCCCTTGAGGAGAAGCTTTTGAGACTGGAAGGGGATTTAACTGCAAGAGAAGCAATAGGAGCCCAGGACGCTGAGCTGAAAAATGAGCTTTCCCGGGTGAAGAGAGCAAATAGTGAATTCCAGAGGAAGATAAGATACCTTGAAGAGGAGAAGCAAGAGGGCCTGAAGAGAACTCAAGCACTTGAAAAGGAGCTAAAACAGAGGAAAGCAGCAAATCAGGATCAACATCAATCCAATAATGCAAGCCTTCCATCTAGTCCTGAATCCAGTGACATGAATACTTCTACTTCTGATGAATTGAATCCCTCACAGGTCAGTACCAACAGTTTATATCTCATGTTCAATTGAAAATAATTAATGCAACGATTTATATGGCAAATTATCTGATTGTACATTATTTCCTACCAAATGAAGAAAGAGGAGGCAAATAATTTAGAAGTATTATCTATGAGATAATTGTACGACATGGTTGGTTATTTATTTCTGAAATTCTTCTCTCTAATGCAGGCTGGTACAAAATCAAATTTTAATTCTGGAAATATTCCAGTTATAGGAGCCAATACTTTGTCAAAGATCCAACAACTCGAGAATGAACTAGCTGAGGCTTTGGAGGCAAATGATATGTATAAAGCCCAGCTCAAGAGGTTAAATACGAGCGCTATTTGTTGTCTTTTTCACAATCATTTGAAATTTGACATTATCGAAATGTCATCTTATACAACTGTGCACCACTGTCAGTCTCTCACAGTATGTCTAATCACCATGTTTTAATTGCTGCTTATGTTGCAGTTTGTTAACTGAGGGACAAAAGGATGTTCCCAAGAAGTTGATGGATGAAGATGAATTAGTAAAAGGAGATAAATATGAGGGCAAGATATCGTCACTTCAGACTGAGTTGAAAGATTTACAGGAGCGCTACTTCGACATTAGCCTTAAATACGCAGAAGTTGAAGCCGAACGCCAGAAACTTGTATTGAAGCTCAAGACCGTCAATACTGGAAGACGGTGGTTTTCATGAGTCCAGAGGATTTTGCCGTTGTTTCTAAAATTCAACATGTTCTACCCCCAGCTGGATTCAAATTCTTTCCACTAATCCTTTTTTTTTTTTTTTTTTTTGTGTAGTTCCCACAGTTTCGAATCCTATTCAACTGAACAGCGTAACATTTACAGATTTCAAAGGAATGCAAGAAATTGTAGTGGCCGCTGATGATTGTAAACAATGAAAACTTGACTAGAAATGTGATGTCAGTTTTCCTGCAGTTTAAGATATTCTCGTGTAAACTCACAGCAGTGAGGGGAAATGGCAATTCCAAAATCAAAATCAATTTATATTATTTTAACTGTTTATGTGGCTTTAGGCTAAAGATTTCTTTCTTCGCCCATTTTGGATCCACACAGCAATCTACTGGACTTATGAGTTGGGCTTGCTGTCAAGGCCTGGCCCACTTAAAATACAACCCGCGAAACACGAAAATTTTGAAAACAACCATCAACCCTCCAGAATTTTTCCAACTTTTGAAAACCTCGGGCCCAAAAATGCAAGAACCCAATCTCTTACCGTCAATTTAAATCCTTTCAAATCCAACCATCCACGTCATCGATCCCCGTCTCATCAAAACAACCCAATCGCCACTCACCTCCTTTCCCTATATAAACACACCACAAACTAAACTACTCCATCCGCCAAGAACTCTGAAAAAGAAAAATCACTTTTTTCCCTCCTTTAGAAAAGAAAAAAAAAAAAAAACCCCTCTATCAGAATCCTAGATGGCTCCCAAGGCAGAGAAGAAGCCGGCCGAGAAGAAGCCAGCCGCAGCAGAGAAATCCCCAGCGGAGAAGAAGCCTAGAGCAGAGAAGAAATTGCCTAAAGAAGGAGGTGCCAGTGATAAGAAGAAGAAGAGGACGAAGAAGAGTGTGGAGACCTACAAGATCTATATCTTCAAGGTCTTGAAACAAGTTCATCCTGATATTGGGATTTCAAGCAAGGCTATGGGTATCATGAACAGTTTCATCAATGATATCTTTGAGAAGCTTGCTCAAGAATCTTCAAGGCTTGCTAGGTATAACAAGAAGCCTACCATTACTTCTCGGGAGATCCAGACTGCCGTCAGGTTGGTTTTGCCTGGAGAACTCGCTAAGCATGCTGTTTCTGAAGGGACTAAGGCTGTTACCAAGTTTACTAGCTCTTAGACGATTAGGGTTTGTAGGGCCTTTTGTGGGATCTGCGGAATTAGGGCTCTTGTTTGATGTAAAGGTTGTTTAGGTTCTGATCTGAACACAATCTATGTAGTTTCTTCTGTTTTAATTAATGAAACGCAATTTTAGTTCATAAATTCTCTGATTACTGTTTTTGGATTGTTTGGTTTAACTATTCTTGTGTTCTTGATTGATCAGAAATAGTTAGGTTTGAGGATTTGGGGTTCTTTCATGGCGGGATCTTTTTTCTTCTGGTTTCTCTGGGTTTTCCTGTTGCTGTGAAGGTTAAATTCTGGATCTGAATGTTAATTAAATGTAGCTCGTTACTTTTTCTTAGAAGGAATTAAAATGAATTTTTTCCATTAATTGTAGCTCGTCACAAATAGCTAGATCCCTTTGCTTCTCAAGTGTCATGCAGCTATCTGAACTTACTGTGGCAATGATTGAATTTCTGTGCAGAAAAATGGCGAATTAACATTGTAAGGGGACTGAAAAATAAAAGGATTGTTTTTGGGCAAACGTTGTATTTACTGATGAGTGAAGGGTGGAGGGGCTATTTGTTATTCCAATTATACATTTCGTAAAACATTCAACAAATAGTTAGAAAAACAGAGGCAATGACTGGACACTATCACTGCTATCTTCTCTCTGGCTTGTCTATCTTTCCGACCATCAAGTTGATTCTGTCGCCTTTGGCCTATCATCATTTGGGTTTTCCGATAATGGGCGTCTTTGCGAACAATATTTAGGAAAAAAATCTTCAATTTTCTTAACTATTCTCTGCCCAATACCAAAAATTCCGTTGACAAATCCGGGGAGACACGAACACCTTTGCCTGGATAGTTTTCGGTAATTCCTCCACTAATCACCGAAGCCATGGTATACTCATTAAATGAAAATACATTTTTTTAAGCAATATTAGTCCGATTAGCTATTATCATGAGAATCCTCCAATCATCTAAATGAAGATATTCCTCAAATGAACATAAAAAGCCATAAAAAACAAGGAAAAACCAACTTTATCCTTATCTTCCACTAGTTGATCACCACCTTTCCCTCTCTCTCTCTGTATATATGTATATAAAGGTCTAGGGATCAAATGTTACATATCCTGTTTTTTAAATTAAAAAACAAATATAACACTACATGCTTTCTAAACTGAAAAATAATTCAACACTATATATCTTTTCCTGCTTAAAACTAAATACAATTAACTCTATTTAGACTAAATACTTTTCTCCGTATACTTATATCTACACATCTTCTTTTATTAAAAATTAAATGCAATTCAACATATTTAAACCAAACACTTCTCTTGTATGCTTATTTAACCTTCAAAAGGATTCTCCACAACCAAGAAGCGATTTGTTTTACAGATACTTTCTATTCATTCAATATACAACTAATTATATCAATCATTTGAAAAATAAGTAAAAATTATGAAAAAAAATTAGAAAGAAATATGTTATTTTATGAAATAAAGTAATATTAAATTTAAGTATAGTCAATACTGATTTAAAAACTAAATGATTAATTTTTAAAATAAAAAAAGTTAATTAATTTATTTTTTAAAATTAGAGAAACTAATTTATAATTTATTCATATAGATTTGATTAAACATTGAAGGGGAAACGCAAAAAGTTATTTTCGACAAAACAATTCGAATATATTACAATAAAACTAAAAGAAAACGGAAAACTACTGTAGCATTCCACTATTCACTTTTTTTTTTTTTTCTTGGTTTCGATTGCTGGCTTCCAAGGTTCTGAGGGAATTGCCTTTTATTTTGGTCCCTTTTTTCTATTCTTTTTTTTTATATTTTAATCATTAAAATTTTATTATTTAATTTTTATTCCTATAATAAATATTAAAATTTTATTATATTTGATTTTTATCCCAATAATAAATATTTTTTTCTTGAATTTTAGTACAATTTTGGTTTTTTTTTATTCCTATTTTATGATATGTTTTTATTTTGATCATTAAGTTTTATCATATTTGATTTTTTATCCTTACTATACTAAAACTAAATAAAGTTTACTATCCTAAGCTTTTTTTTTTTTTTTTGGCTTTTAGTGAAACTTTTCTTTTTATTATAATTCATGTTTTGTGATTTTTTTCTTTGTTTTCGCCATTAAATTTAGTAGAATATTTTTTTTTAGTCCGTGTTTTGTAATTATTTTTTATTTTGATTATTAAATTGTGATTATATTTGATTTTTTTCCTAGCAAGAAACTATTTTTTACTTTTAGTAAAACTTTTTGATATATATATATATTTTTTTGTGATCTTTCATTTATTTTGATAATTAAATTTTTATTATATTTGATTATTATTCATTCTACACTAAAATTAAATACGCTTTTACTATTCTAAGTTTTTTCTTAGTAAAAAATATTTTCTGTTTTGATTCTTATTTTATAGTTTTTTTATTTTGGTTATTAAAATTTTATAATGTTTTATTTTTGTTCTCGCCTTATGCATAATGATTTTTTTTTAGTCTTATTGTTTATAAGTTTTTTTTTTGTTTCCATTGAAAGTTTTTTATTTATTTTGATCTCTTTTTATTTTTATTTTGTTTTGATCATTTAATTTTTATTGTGTGTAATTTTTTTCTTTATTTTCTTTGCCAAATTCTCGATTTGAGAAAGGTTTTTTTGTCTTTTTGTTTTGGGTGGTTTTTTTTGTCTCATTAACAAATTACAAATGAATCATACATAGTAAAAATTAATCATCCAAAATTCAAAAAACTACCACATTATTATTTTAATTATCGGTTATTATATATATTTTAATTATATCAAACAATATGTAATTAGCAACATTATATTACTCAACTTTGTAGATTTTTTGTTTATCTACCTCAACCGCAAATTATAAAATACATGTTTTAATTCTTTTTTTTGAATTTGTTTCGCATAGTATTTTTAAATAATTATTTATAAATTTTATATTTTATACGAATTAATATATAAGAATGTTGTATAGTTGATATGTGGCAACGTGTGGGATGTATGCTAGTTGATGACTAAAGTAATGCAAAAGTTTCATTGTCCATAAATATTCGCTCCTCTCGAATAAAATAATCTATTAAATTGATGGTTTGGATTTACTCCTAGAGAGAAATAAAAAAAAAAAAAAAACCTTAATTATTGAAATTCAAACTATTATTTTAGACTTTACCAACAGAATAGTCATGTTACTGTTAGTGTTAAGGTTTTTTGATACCGCAAAAACTGAACATCTTTCAGTCACCTTTGATAATATAAATTATTTTTAAAATCGGAAGTTACAAATTTTTTTTCGTTCCTATAATAAAAAAACAGACATAAGTATTATTACAGTGAAAAAAGTATAAGAAGTGAGATTTGAACCTTACATCTATGTTTTAGAGCACGAAGTTTCCTTGATGTTGCACTGATGATTAAAGGTGTAAAATTTTCCTGGAAAGGTTTTTTTGAAGGTAAAAAATGACTTGCGTTGGCTGATAGGTGTAGAACTTTCGAGGAAAGTTGTAAATACGAGAAACGACTATTTTATTGACTGACTGCTTGTCTTTTATAATCCTTAAAATGCTTTGTTATTGTCCTGCAAGAACTTGCAAACCCTTTTTCTTTACTCAACTAAAAGCTATCTTTCCCACGGCCGCCATGGTCTAAGAGTCCGAGTCCTCTAGACCTGGATATGCCCGTGATGTATTCTTGAATTTTACCAATCATCTTTGCACTGTTTTGGTCCAGGCAGGAGTCCCTACTTTTCTGGACGATAACCAACTTTCTGGAGGAAAAAATAGGTGTACCGATCATCAGCTTCCTTTTGCAGAAGCTTTTGAGATGCATGAAGAATGCTTCAAAGAAGAAATGGAAAGGTTCAACAAGTGGAGACAAGATCTTGTCATGAAGGCCGCAGATCTTTCAGACATGGCAAACGGGTATGTTTTTTTTGGTTCTAAGATGATTAGATCTGCTCTTATACGTCAATGAGAAAATTTTTCTTTTCCAATCTAAGCATGGTATAGTCCACTTGACATCTTATGATTAGCTTTGAATCATAATTTAAAATACTGACAACCTTGTTTGAGCATGTTCAATTATCTTTCATTGATGATTTGCGTTTTTTTGTGTATGCATAGGAATGGATCAAAGTTTATCGAAAAGATTGTCGAAGATGTGTTAGATATATTGGATCTCAGATACTTGCATGCTGCCAAGCACCAAGTAGGTATTGATTCCGGTTGCGATAAGATTATTTTGTTGCTGGGAATTGATACAAATGATGTTCGCATTGTGGCCATATATGGAATGGGAGGAGTAGGCAAGACAGTTATACCAAAGTTTGTATTGAACAAACTTGGTTAAATATTCAAGAGAAGTTGATATCTTTTCAATGTTAAATAAATCTCATAACAATTGGATGGCTTGGTTCAATTACAAGAACAAATTCTTAGACCAAACATTCTGGAGATTAAAAATGTTGAAAGAGAAATCAATTTGATCAAAGAACGACTTTGCTGCAACTAGGTTCTTATTGTTCTTGATGATGTGGATAAATCGGAACAATTAGATCTAGATTGGAGAGCATAGTTGGTTTGGTTCTGGAAGTAGAATCATCATTACAACTAGAGATGAACGTCAATGCATGCTTTCAGAAGCACCTATCTGTTAGGAAATTACGTGGAGCATTGGAATAGTGTAATGGATTATTGTAGAGGACTTCCTTTAGCTCTTAAAGTTTTGGGATTTTATCTGTTCATACAAGCATATTTGTGGGCAAACAATACAGTAGAAGACAGAAGCACATGGGGGAAATTAATATGGAAAGAGTATCTATTGTATGTTATTTTTATTGCTACTTTTATTAGGATTAATTTAGAATAAATTAGGACCAGCTAATTAGGCAACCAGATATGAGATTCCTAGTTGTTTGGTGTTTTAATTAGACTTTCCTGGTATTAGGGAGTCAGATTAGGCAATAGCCTTTTATGTTTGTATTCTGTTTTAAGACTTCTGTATTATATAAGGAGGAGAGGAAAATTGAATAAGATATCGAGAGAGTTATATGCAGAAGGCTAAGAAGAGTTGGGAGGTCTCTTAAGAACAAACCTCCATTGTTATTGTCAAAATAGGTTTCTTAAGGAAAGGTAGGAACCGGAGCAAGGGAACAGAAGAGGATTTCTTTATACACCGACTTGCAATGCGATCCTTGTCTCGGGACCATAACACAAAGTGCTATTGAGAAACTATGAAAAAAATCCACACTAACAAATTCGTGGAAAACTTAGAATGAGTTTTGACACACTGGATGATGATAAAGCAAAAGCCATATTCCTCGATATCGTGAGCTTTTTCATTGACCTGGATTAAGAATATGTATTTGAGATACTATATAGCCACGGTTTCTTTCCAGAATATTGGTATTAGTCTTCGCATTGACAGGTCTCGTTTAACTGTTAAAATCAGTTAGAGATGCATGATCTGTTGCAAGACATGGGAAGAGATTTTGTTCATGAAATGTCACCTGACCATCCTGGAAACGCTGCAGAATTTGGCTTCCTGGGGATGGGCAAGGTGTACTCAACAATCAAATGGTAAGAATTAAATCCATACACCTAATCTGGTCTTGCACACAAAAAACAATTTTTCATCTCTTCTGTCAACTTTTTAGAGAGTCAGTCAGAATGTTTTTGAATGGATCATCTTCCACATCATTATAGTTGATACTTCTGCTATTTTTGAACTGTTTTCAGGTGATGGAAGCTGTGGTGGGTCTTGCACTAGATGTGCATTTTACATCAAAAACTCTCTGTCTGAGCACTAGGATGAGTTATTTAAATTCACTTCTAACCGATGGAGTTAAATCTCACCAGATGCTATGAATATCTTTCCAGAGGGTTATTACGGCTTTGTCGGCATAAATGCCCTTAGAAATCTTTACCATCCAATTTTCAACTAGAGAACCAGTTGTTCTTGATACACTACAGCAACATCAAAGAACTCTGCAATGAGATCAAGGTAAGGCATAGCAATAGAAAGGATATCAATTCACTCAAAAGCAATACCTGCATGTTCTTGATTGGGTGCCAAAAACTAATTGAGATTTAGGACAGGGAAGGTGTCAGAAATATCTGGTTCATGTTGTTGAATGACTGCAACAATTTAGCAAATTCTTTTAAAAAGACTCACCTCTCTCTCTCTTTCTGCACTCACACGCATGATTAGTACATTGCATATACGTTAAGGTCTGAAATTTTAGCTCTACATGAAACAGGCTCTGTGCAAGGGCGAGCATTACGACATTTTTCTTTCCCGGTGGCAAGTTGCCAGATTGGTTCAGCTATTGTGGAGATGGACGCAATGCATATGCTTCTGCTCTTATAAAAAACAATAGCAATGATATTCAGTTCTTCGAAATATTTATGTTGCTTTCGTTTGGTAGAATTTCCCCCGGCCATTTTTGGGTAATTTACATTCCATTACTAGGCTTTCCACGTGCAATGGAAGGTGGAGAGGTATTGGAACCGTCTGTGAAAGTAAAGGAAGACAAAACTATAGTAGAAAGGTGTGGTGTCCATCTATCTGTGGTAAAATAGCCAGATGGGAGGGACAGCGAAGGAACTTTGTTACCATCTCCCCAGCATCTCCAAATGAGCAGTGGGAAAAATTTTGCGGCGGCTGGAGAGACCAGGTCCTTGACAATATAAAGATTTGGCTCAACTCGTGGAGTTGTTCTTGCGATCTATGAATCATTTCTTATCATGGTGCTCCTTTAGATTTATCTTTAATCAAATCAAACTCCATGTCAAATTTGTTTCAGAATCTACACGAGCAATGCTTTTTAGCAGCCTAGTAAGCTTACCAATCAACGTTCTTATTGATTCAAGCATGCAAGATTCAATCTCAAATCCTTTACCATTTAATTTATAAAGCGCCCTCACGAGAGTAAAAAACTAAAACTTCTGCCTCCAATTGGCCATTCTTAGAGTTCAGCTACATCAACTATCGAATCCTACGAGAATCAATAGATTAATAGCCTATTTTCGTGAAATGAGACTTCTCGGGAGCATTTTATCAGTAATCTGAAGTCCATTAAACTTCATTCTGTGGCCAAACGATGTTTCTATGCAATCAGAAGAGAGAAAATGAGAAGCAGAGTGCAAGTCCATTCTGCAAAGGAACTGAAAAATGAAAGAATTTTCTTGGCCAAACAATTTATTTACGGATGAATGAATGGAGGTGCCATCTGTTATTCCAATTATACATTTTCAAAAACATCCCACATATAATCAGAAAAACACAGGCAATGACTGGACACTCTACAGACACGAGAGACTTGAGGAGCAGGCAGCTTCTCATTCACTTGGAAGGAACCGCCACTGGCTCCCTTCAGCCTTGCCACTCAATTCTATTCATTTTTTAATTAGTTATTTCCTATTTCCACAACTTTACAGTATTGAGTATGCTCGGATAACTTCAACAATTGGAGCTCTGCACAACGGGCACTTTCCTCCACCACGGATCAACTCATTTGCACATTTTGAACAAGTGCACATGTGCCCGCATCTGCAATAAGTTTTCGATTTGTAAGAGAGGTGTTAAAAAAAGAATAGCATTGAGAAAACGAATCAACAAGTCCCAAAACAGGCAGACTGATTTCACAAAATATCACAACAAAAAGCTATGATACCTGTACAATAGAGAATCAATATGGCTGTCACAGCAAACGCAACATGTCCCTTTCCTTACATTACCCCACTTAGACCCATCCTCGGATGTCTCTGCACCTAATCCTGAAACATAGTGCATCCTTTACGTCAATAACCAAACAGAGAGTGAATGATCAACAACCCTACACAGAGAACATTGGAAGTCAAGTAGCCAACAAAAACCTTTTTCACCAGATGATCTATTCAGAGCAGCGGAGACTTCCTGTCTGACCGAGCGTTGCAATTCAAGCTGCATATCCATGCAGGCTTCCAACATCCTCTGCATGTGGCTCATTCCCTGCTGAAGTCTTGTCATGTCTGCTCTCAAATCATTAAGCATCTCCCATTCCTGCTCAGTATCAGCATCCACATTCAGATAACAGTTGCACTCACATAAATAACACAGAATAGAAATAAAAAAAGAACTTGGCAGATTTTGAATGACACAGATACTGGAAAAATACTACAACTAAGCTTTTTGTAAAGGAAATACATTCTGATGAATGTTCATGATATCACGGTAGAATGTCCTAAACTATTTTTAGAATAGCTGATACAACATAATAACACTGACCAAAAGGTTTTAGTCAGCATCATGATCAAATTTGGAAAAAGAAAGGAAAGAAAATTAATCTGCAAGCCCTTTCAGTTTTCCAATATATAGCAATGAAATGTACCTTGAACTCTTAGATCATAAAAAGTGAAACATATGGTTTTCAGAAGTAAGAAAGCTGAGTTTTTGTGTGAACTGTGACACAATTAGACAAAATGTACCAATAAATTCAATAAAGAAAACTAAGATTATGAATGTGATGATAAAACATAATAATTTGTTTCAAGATCTGTTGAGGAAAAGATTGCTCACAAGTTCTGATCGATGCATGCTATGGCGAGACCAGCTAGTGTGGTGCAAATCCTGGTGCCACAGTGGCTGAGGTGGAGGCACTGGTGGAGATGGCAAAACTAGTGAAGGTCTGTGTGTGGCATCATGTTGACCCTCATTTTGTTCATCTCTCTGCTGCTCCTCGTCTCGCTCTGGTGATGTGGCAGTTGGTGTTGGCAAGTTTCTGTGCAAATCCCAGTCAATGGGAGAACGACCTTGCCTTTCCACATATGACTGTATTAAATGGTCTAGGCTTTCACGGAAACCACTTCTAAGAAGATTAGACACACTTCTCCTAAAACACAAAAGCAAATTCCGTTAAACGATCTACGTTAATTCCAATTACTTTTAGCATATAAAAGGGTCTTCAGTAACAAATCAATTACCTGCTCAACAGTTCTCTAAGCTCCATACTATACACATTATCATCATCAGGAGGATGAAATCTATTGAATCTTCTAATTGGAACAGCACGGCGAGTTCTTGGAGGATCAGAAGGCCCTCCTGTCCAATTTTCAACAGCTTCCCTAGTGTTGCCCTCGCGCCAAAGTTCCTGCGACTCTTGTGGATGACCTTGTTCACCGGGAACATTTCCAGGTGTTTCCCGGGACCATTCATTGACTGAATTCTCTTGCCAATTTCCATCCATAGGTTCCGCATTACTAGCTCTCCATTCATCTAACTGACTGTATTCTGTCTGTGGCCAGTTTCCTCTCTCATCATTGTTAACTTGTTCCTGCCAACCCTCTCCCAGATTAGCAGTTTCTTGCCAATTCAAGTTGTCAGCAGCAGTGTTGCTCTCCAAGTTGTTTGCTTGATCAGGCAAACGACGCATGTCGCTTTCTTGACTCCCAGGTTGTGATTGATCATTCTCCTCGTGTTGCATGTCCTGAGAAGTATTTGTTTGAGTCTGATCATTTCTAGTATCATTGATGTTATTATTAGGGGTGGTATCAGAGTGGCTGCTTACTTGACCACGAACAATATTTTCCAACCTGGAGCGGAACCCTTCCCTGAAAGAGTAGAGACATTTTCCATCAGAACTGTCAAATGAAAATCATTTCTTTTTTCATTGTTCAACAACTACAATAGCAGCAGCAGACATTAATCAAGCACAAACAAGCCATAAGGCAACAAGCTCAATTTTTTTAGAGGAACACAGCATAGCTCCACATCAAGAATCCAGCGTTCTTCAACAAGAAAAAGGCCAAGTCAAATTTCAGAAGGGGTACACACACAGGAAGAAGGAAAAAATGCCGGCTTCTTCTTTCCAGGCAAGATATGGTGAGCTTTCAAGATTGAAGATTTTTCCAGACCAGGTTTCATCAATTTGTAAAGGAAAGGTAGCATTGAGTCATCTTTCATCCAATGATGTTGTGAGGGGTGAAAATTCTTCATTGGTTACTGAAGGGGCATATCCTTAAAACTGTTGACTTTGTCATAGTGGTTTTGAAAGTGATCATAACTGATATCTGCATCTGAACAGTTTATGATAAAATATCAGCAGCACATGTGCACAATTAGATTATGTTTCGATCATTAGATGCAGCCTCCACCATTCACACATAGTATTTACTCCACCCTTCACACATAGTTAACTATACAAATTAAACTCAAGATATCTTCACACCCAATAGATCCATCACTGCTGTCTTGTAACAGACTGCCTCCAAATTCATAGTTCAGATTTTGCTTTCTATTATTCCTGACCTGGTTTTTTACGTCCCCCCCCCCCCAACACACACACACACACACACACAAACGCAAAAGTTAGTAATGCATTTATGTGTATAACACTGATATATTGTACCATCGATATCACCAATATAAAAATGTGCCATCTAATGCCCCAAGAAAAACTGGCACGGTGATCTAGCAGCTAAACCAAAAACATTTGCACACTAGATGCAAATGAGCCCTGGGTAACAAGATCACTTTTCCCATGATCACATGCATGTGTACAAGAATGCAATGATTTTACCAACCACCAAGTACACATACCATCCTCTCATTGATGATTAGGCAGCATAGAAATTTTATGTTGAATAAACTTGATTTGGCAGGATTATAATCCCCATTCTCACCCATGAATTTCCTTATCTTGTCAGTAATCAACAGTCAAATAATCACTGGATAACATACAAACAGCCATAAATGACAAAACTGCTCAGGGGAACAAGGAATATTTCAACAGCAAATTTCACTGAATCACTCTTACAGTGAAAGTTGTATTCCATATGCTTCCTTGATAGGACGATCCTAATATATTAATAAGAAAATTTGTAACCTCAATCAGATCATCCTAAACAATGTGCTGCTTGGCAGGAAGATAAGAATCTACCTTTATGGTATCCTAGAAAGCACAATTTTTGAAGTGTTGGAACGATTTGATGAACATTCTCAATACTATTCTAAAGATTTACACAGGAATAGGAAAAAACATACCTTAAGCCAGAAACAGTGTGCCGCTGCCTTAATTGAACTAGTTCACTAGCAGCCATGGAAGGTGGCCTCTCCTCTTCAACCGGTCTTTCATTTCGTAAGAATCTACCTCTTAGTAATGACTGGAAAAATATTTAAGCATGAGCAATCGCAATATATGCACTAGAAGAGAGAATTTTCAATCATCATAAAAAAGTGCATATTCATTATTCAGAGAGTTATTATGATTTATAAAGTTTCATTATGATTTGCTTATAAAGGTTCCACTACAAACATTCTATTTTAACTAAATTTCATTCAGATCAAACGTGGCAGGTGTCAGCCTTGAGGAGGGAGATATAAAAATCCTTATATGTTTAATTAATCATGAAATTAGCATAACCTTACTTTCTATTATCTTTGCATATAAGAAAAATATATGTAGCACCGCAACCACTGAGCTAATAAACAAATGAAATTATTTTCTAACAAGAAGCTTTGGAACTTATAGATCATATCTCTGAACGTAGACAGAAAAAGAAGTTAGGTTAAATTACAAAGAAAAGCTACCCAAAAAAAAAAAAAAAATCCATTTACAACAAAGAGCAGACCTGAATGCGGTTGCGGTGAGCAAAATCCGAGACAGCCCGATGCTCCAATAATCCCTCAAGCTCCCTCTGTCTTTCTCTCTCAATCCTGACAAGCAAGTCAAGAATCGCTTGTCTTCCTCGCAACCTCAGCATGTCCCTACGAATATGCTCTGGTTGCCCTTCATCATGGTCAGCAACCGACCCATCATGGGCTTGGTCAACTTGTGCGTTATGTCCAGCAGCTTGATCTTCCCTCCGACTAGCACGAGCTCCTCGCTGCTGACTTGACATCTGCACCCACTCCCTGACAATTCTAACTCTTTCCCTCTCTGTTTCACCAAGCCATTCTGCTCTAGGACTGCCATTCCTTTGGGATACATTAGATGCATGATCGCTAATGCCACTCTCCATCCATCCCCGAGCAATCTGCCTCACACTCCTCTCAACTTCTCCGATATCAGGAGATTGCTCCCTGCTAGACTCATTATCATCCCCAAGCTCGTTCCGTGACACCATATGCTCATGTGACCAAGGTCCAAAGTCATTTTCACTCTCACTTGCATCCTCTAAACTTCCCTGATTCTCACTCCCGCGACTCTCTGATGCATTTGAGACCGACATATTTGTATTAGACTCAGCATTCCTTCGCTGCCTCAACCTCTCCCTTCGATTCAACAAATGATCATCCTCCAATTCCCGCCACATTTGCAAAATCGCAGATGCCTGAGTACTTGGCCTTTCAACAGTGCCCTGCCTTCTTGCAGTAGGCGACTGCGATTCCCTCAAAAACGAGGAATCAAGCATAGAAACCGTGTGCAAACCTGCAAGTGCCATCAACTCGGACTCACGATTCCTCCTCTCCATAGTAGTTATCATCTCTTGTGCCTGGCGAGCAGCCCATCTACTCAAAATTCGAGAGTGGCGCCTTCTTGCAGCTGATGACTCAGCCAAATCATCACCCTCAAGATCAGACCTACGTCTTCTGCGCACAAGCTGATCCCCTTCATCATCTTCATCATCCACGTTACGGTTAGAACTACATGAAGCAAAAGACATACAATTATCCAAATGCCCCCGCATCAATTCCTCCAATCCCCTCTCAAATTCCGTGCGGGCAACATCTGTTGATTCAGGCTTTTGTTGTAATGGTTGAAAATCAGTCATCCTCACACAATCCTCCTCCTACCCCACACCTCACAATCTCCGCACTCAAAATTCACACCCCCTGCCCCTTTGAAAAAACAACTTTTTTTAAATCCACCAATTACACATAGCCTCACCCCTTCACTAAAAATCCTAAAACATTAAAATAATAATGATCAAACTCTAAAGATCCAAATGCAAACCCTAAATTCATACCAAAAAATAAATAAATAAATAAATAAAATATATTCCCTACAATGGATTCTGATTCTCCCAAATTGACATCACCTGATAACATTTACACAAGTCAAAAAAATCTAAATTAAAAAAAAAAAAAAACAAAAGGCAAAAATTAATCAAATTGAGAAAATTAAAGATTGATATTGATGATAAAAACGTACCTGAGAAGCTTGTTAGTAATGGTGTTTTTTTTTTCTTTTTGATGTCTTACGTTTGGATTTTGTTTTGTGAAAGTGAGAAACCGAAACCAAAACCAAAACAAAAAACCCTAATTTTTTTGAAGGAAAGGGAAATGTGTGAAGTGTAAAGAGAGAATTGTTGAAGAAGACAAGGGAAGGGAGGAGAGAGATCACAGGAGAGAATGATATCAGAATTTATAATTAGTGTTCATGGAAATTTTTTAGAGAGAGAAATGAAATGAGGAGTGTTTTAGATAGAGAAAGCGTGATAAAGAGAGATTTTTATTTATTTATTTGGTTTGTGAAAGAACCGCGGATCTATAGGGAGCGTCGGTCTTCTGATGGTTGACACGCAGTGGATTGTGACTCTTTAATATTTAGCCATTTTTTTCTTTTTTTTATTGGTCAATTACCTAATTCCACGTAATAAAATTGGCTAACGTCTTCACAAGCAACATCTGCCTTCTTTTTTTTTTTTTTACTTATCTATCTAAATAGTTAAAAGTTGAAAGTTAAAAAGAGCAAACGTTTACAGATTTAGAATAATAAAGGCTTCATTCATCTCCTTTCAGATTTTTTTTTGAAAAAAAGAAAAGAAAAGGAAGATTAACTTGCTTTCCAAGTTTTTATGTATCTGATTTTTTTTAAAAAAATATATATATTTAAGTATGCCTTAAATCAGCATGTTGAATGAAGTTGTTCCCAGTGTTATTAATTATATTAATTTCCAATGTGATTTATGATTATGACACATAAATCTTTTATGCATATACTAAATCAATGTTAATGGCATGTTAAAATCCAACAAATTATTTTATATACTTAAATTAAAATACATTAAGTGGAATATGACAATATTACTTTATATAGTAACGACAGAGTTGGTTAACTAAAAAGATCATATGATGAATAACTAATAAATTAGTCTAACTAGTTTTGAAAAATAAATAAAATAATTTTTTAATTTTAAAACTTAATTAATTAGTTCATAAATCAGTGTTAATAATATTTAATTTAATATTATTTATTTAAAATAATATTTTTTCACCAAACTTTTCGTAATATTTATTTATTTATTTATTTTTACCTTTTGTATTTCTTAAAACAAAATAAATTGAAAAATGACATGAAATAAAAAAAATGACTGATTGTTTATTTTATTTTTTTTTACACTAAATAAACTATTTAATTCATCTTGTAAAATTAAAGAGACTAATTTATAATTTAGGTATTATAGGATTGGCTAGAAAATTCAAGGAAAATTTATAATAATATTAAAATAAAACAGATTTGTTAGCAAAACGAGAGCAAAATCTGATGAAGATTGCCGCTGAGATGATTGGTGTTTGAGTAAAAAAATGCTACTTTCGTTAATTAACTGTCAATTTAAGGCAAAAAAAAAAATGATTTTGTTACTGCCCAGTATGCGGGCAGCAGGTGTCTTGCCAGGCTGGCACCTTTCGGGAATTGAAGATTTTGTTCAGCTAAGGACCACGGCTTGCTGGGTTGTCTTAAATTTGATTTCATGGCTAAAATTGTTTGAAGCACAGGAGTCAGGAGGTGTAGTGTGTACTGCTGATCTCCTTAATTCCCTGGTTGTAGGAAGCTGTGAATTTTTATTTTTTTTCCCCTAAAATAGTATTCCAGCTGCCAATTTTAAAAAATAATAATAATAACAATGCACTGTGTAATATTTTATTCAAGTCAATAACTATTTGTGTTTGCGACTATAGATAGTCAAATCATTATTATCATAAGTAAAAAAAGGACAAGAAGAATAAGTTGACCTTTTGAATATAAAATTAATAAACCATAGAGTTTAAATATAACAATTTTATTTGTCAAAAAATAGAGATTTTTTTTAAAAAAAGAAAGGAAAAGAAAATGGATGCTATTTGATTTGTAATTTCAAAAAAAAAAAAAAAGAAGAAGAAAAAGTTGATGTTATGGAGTTGTTTTTGTCTTCGCCTTAGGATATGGTATGATCAAAAAAATAAATTCTATGTAAAAAAACTCACACTAACTTTTTTTTAAAAAAAAAAACCTATCAACCGTTGTGATGAAAAGATCCAATAATTATGAAAAATTTTATAATATTGTGTGTGTGTAAATTTACTTTTCAGAAGAGATATAGATAAAAAATTAAAATTAAAAAAACTGAGCAAAGGTCGAAATTTCTCTAATAACCACAATAAATTCAAAATAACAATGAAAATGGCAGCACAAAAAGTAGAGAGGCTAAGGGGTAGACTGAAGACCGCTACTATAGAGTGACACCAAACAAACAGAAGGGAATGTAGAGTTTACTTGAGAGAGTCCTAAAGGTAGAAAAGAAAACAAAAAACCTTGAAATATTTTTCCTCTCCAGGTGATGAAGGAATGAAGGAAGGACCATTTTGGAATCTTGAAACGCCACGAGGGAAATCAGGCCCTTGTCTTACTCATCGTGATCAAAATTGGGTGTTGGGGTTGGTGTTGGTGCTGGGTGAGCATCATTCCTGTACGCTGGGCTGCCTTTTTCAATGATGTTGATGTTGCAAATGCATGTTTATTTCTTCAAGATCTTGAAAAAAATAATTAAAAAAAAAAAGATGGGTCAATTTTGATTGGGGTGCACCAAACAAACAGTTTCTAGAGAATATCTCCATTTTTAACCTGCCTCTATTGGTTGACCAATATTCTGGAGGCTAGATATTGCAGGTCTATCTACCAGCAGGTTTGGTACTAAAATTAAGGCGAAATTTATCAGTCCATTTTTATATAATTTGTCAATTTTTTAAATTTATTGTTATGTTTTTAATTGTGTTTGTTATGTTTTTGTATAATATCTAACTTTTAAAATTGATATAATTCTTTATAAACTATCATTGAGCTACATAAGAATATAATTTTGATTTTTTTGAAACAAAAAATCTTTGTTTAAAAAAAATAATGCTTGAGTAATTTTGAAACTTTTTATTTCTTAAAATATTTTGAGTAATTTTGAAAAAATTTTCTATTTTATATAACTCAATTGCAATTTTAGAATGAAAAATGAATTATCAATTTGAGTGAAAAAGGAGATAAAAATATATACCGAAGAATCGAATACAATATAAAGATGTCATTGACACAAATAAAAATATAAAAATATATTAAAAACTTGCTTAATTAAATAAGAATAGATTAACTTATTTATCCTAACATTAATTAATAACTATGAGAATTTAATAAGAAAATGGTGAGATAATATACAGTGTATGATTATTAATAATTAATTACCTGATATGATTAAATTATGTGTTGGTTAGACTATTTTGTTGGAAGAAAGACAAGAGATTAGAGAAAACTAAAGGACTTTTTATCCTTCCTAGTTGGTCCCATAAACTTTCACATAATAAGGCAAAAGGAGCATCAATTTCTTCTGCGACATTTTTTTTTTTAAGGCTAACCATAGACTCAATTAATATACCTCACTATATATAAAAAAAAGTTATTGATTAATATTTTATTCACCAACAATTAATTATAATTATTTTCAATAGTATTAAATTTAAATTAGATTAGTCTAAAAGACAGTTCAATGGATGACTAAAAGATAAACATGTATTTTATATGAAAAGTTATTGATTAATATTTTATTCACCGAGAATTAATTATAATTATTTTCAATAGTATTAAATTTAAATTAGTTTAGTTTAAAAGATAGTTTAGTGATTGATTAAAAATAAACACGTATGATGCTACTTTAGTTCGAATAAATTAATTTAACAAATGATGAATTTAGTTTCAATTAATTTAAAAATTAATTTGAATATATATATATTGATTAATAGTTTGTAGCCGGAACGTCCAATCGGCCTACCTATTTCTTTTCCTTATTGAAAATAATTCATCCATGTGATCAAACTTTATTTCCATAATTCATCCTTTGAAATACGAAACATTTGTTTATAGAAATAAATAAATCTTCTTTTCCTCTTTTTGTTCATGTGATTACATGGAAAGTGACTGAAACCAGTTAAGACTTCACTAGTGATTGGAGAACAAGATTCTCTGAGCTTGCTTTCTCACAAAGTCAAGAAAGTTTAAGCCAAAATAAATGTCACGCTTGATTGCAATTTAAAGTTGGAGTAAACTGTATACTTACTACTCATTGATCATCTTTTAGCCGTACAATATATGCTAAAATTCCTTGTTTTTCAATAGAGGAGTTCTTCTTTCATTAGCATGCCCGTGTAACATTTTGATGAAACAACATTAATCACTCTACTTAGTGGACCCATTGATTAAATAGTTTAAACTTGTCTAATGACTAAATTTGCAAGAATCAATGGCTATCTTAGCCGTCTATTCAACTTAATCATTCTACCTGAAATTTTGGGTCACCTTTTCTCTCCATTCTTGACAAACAATTGGCAATGTTTGACCAATCAGTTTTTTTTTTTCAAAAGTAACTCCCATTTTCCCTTTAATTTTTTTTACTCTTGGAAACTTTATTAATACACAATCTACTGTTTAGTCCGTGCTACCTATGCGGGTGTTTTTTTTTTTTTAATCAATAATTTAGTAATGTTCTGTGTCCATAAATGATGAAAAAAAATGCCTTTAAAAGGTTGGCTTAGCTATTAAGAAAAAAAAACTCATTTAGCCTGTAGATTTCAGGTTTGAAACTTGTCACTGATTTTTTTTTTTAAAGAGGTGACATGTCTAAGTTCGACTAACTCCGTGTTTAAAGATATTCTAAATTTTGACTTCAACATAAATGTGATAGAATTTCTTCAGATATATATGTGGATGTAGAATATGCAATACTGTCCGAATATGTGGTCATTTTGTTTATATATTTATTTTTCATATAAAAATAATAATAATGCAGTGTGTAAGTGTTTCCTCGTCCACTTCATTAATTGTTCGCAGGGTACTACCGCTCTCTCTCTCTGTCTCTCTCTCTCTCTCCGTATGTATATATATATATATATAGCATGGATCAATAATAATGATTAAAATTTCGAGTAAATAATAGATTAGTTCTTTTAGCTTTGAGGAACAAATTAATTAGATTATTATGTTTCAAAAACTCATTATTTAATCTATTTTGTCTATTTTATCCTTTTTCAAAATTTGTTTTGTTTTAAAAAAAACATAAAAATGAAAAAAAAATATCATAGAAACATAAACGAAAAAAATATAATTTTTGTAATAAATTAATATTAAATTAATGTGATTAACACGTGTTAAAAAAGATTAAATAATTATTTTTTGAAAAAAAATAATTAGTTTGTTTATCAAAACTAAAGAGACTAGTTTACAATTTACTTTCAAAATTTCTCATGAATTTTACTGTTTCTTAGATATACATTAACTTATTAGGAACATGGTCTCCCTCCCGTAGATTTTTTTTTCCTTCCTCAACAACAATTGATTTTTTTTCAAGGCCAGTCTTTTCTATATATTTAATTGGTTAGTTTCTACCTTGAGGTAGCTTTTTGAGAAATTTATTTACCATGGAATATGAAAAAGAAAAGAAGAATCCAAAGTGGATTTAATTTGCCCATTTTTTATTTTCAGAATTCATTCTTCTTAAGATAATAAGATACCATGCCAAGTCCTTTCTTTTTTAATTTATTCTCGATCAATCTCTTGCTTATATATACTAAGTTCAGGATATATAGTTAATTAGCCTTTACAAATATTGGTTTTTCAAATGAAAAAACTTGCATAAAATTCTATTGATCACCAGAAACTGATCATATATACGAAAAAAATTAAAACCACACACACACATATATATATATATTCAAATAGATCACCAGGTAGCCTCTTCTCAACTGTCATTTCATTTCCTTACAATACAAACATGTTTTTTACTCTTTCTTTGTAAAATACAGTCCTCGACTGGTTCATTAAGTCCCATGTTTATACGTGTCATGATTTTCTTGATTCCATCTCTGCCTATTGGTAGGCTCTTTTTTCCTTTCATTTAGATAAAATACCAAATGATTTTTTAAATTTTAATAACAAATATATGGTGAACATAAAAAAAAATTCAGAAAAAAAAAAACTATCTAGAGCCTTTCAAAAACACTCATAAATCAAAACCCTCACTAGGTGTCAGAAAATCATTAATTTGGTCCCCAATAAGAAATTAAGAAAATTTATCTATCATGAAAGACCCAAATTTAGAGTGACATTTTTTTTTTTACCAAAGCTTTTCACCGAAGAATGACATTTTTTTAGAGTTAAAGCAAAATTGTGTGCGGTTTTTGAATGGAAAAGACAATATTTTTTTTTCCTTTTTACGTGGAAAAGGTAAACCGTTCTTTAATTTTGGAAAGATGAATTAGAGGTGCATTGATTTCGCCATGAAAAACGCTAAAGACCCTTCCAAATTAATTAACTCAACAATAACGTTACAAAAGCACACAATAAACTATCATTAATGGCATGGCATCAGGCTCAATAAATAAATAAATAAATAAATAAATAAAAAAGAAGTCCTACATTTAGATCCAACCGTCAATTGTCAAAACAGTAATTTTCGATGCTAAAAATGTATATGTTTGTTATGTTAGGAAATCTTAAATGTTTAGAATTCTAATTCCCTTGAAACCAAGGAATGTGATTTCATTTCAATATGACGAGAATCACAATCCTAGAGCGAAGAAATATATTTAGACTTAAATACCTTTGTCATTAAAATGATAGAAATCCCTTAATTTTTACTAAGAATAACACACTTATTTAATTTAGATATTATGTCTCTATGTTTTCATACATTTTTAGTTAATATTTATTTACTTGATAATTATAATATTATCAAGTCAAATTTTTGTATTTTTTTATCAAATGTTAATTTTTTATATTAAAAAAATAAAATGTTTAGTTGGATCCGTTTCAATAGATTAGTTTTCAACCCTAGCCAGTGATATGTATTTTTAATTACATGTATGGTGAAAATATTAATATTTCTCAAATTTAGATATTGTGAGTTTTAATGTTAAAACGGTTAATTTATTAAAATTCTTTATAAATTTACAACGATGGACGAAAAAAGCAACAAAACCGTTTAAGAATCGGCGTACCAAACATTTCTAGATTGAAAACAAAATTTAAAACCTTAACTACATATCTCCATAAAGAGGGGTATTAGTACAATCTTTTTTCTCTTAACTATCACGAGAATGTTTTTTATACATTAAAACTAAAATTTCTCTCTAATCTTATTTTGGAAAGATCATCCGTATTTAAATTAACATATTAATCAAATATCATCTTATTTTTTTCACAGTAAAAAAAAAGTCCATCCTGATTTTTTTAAAAAAATCATAATTGAGAAAATAACATATATATGAGATAATAACATAGATAAAGATAAATTAGATCTAATTAAGGATGAAGAGATGTTCCAATCTTCATATTTTTTGATAAAAAAGGGAAAACAAAAACAAAAACAAAGAAACCCCATGATCGTTTATTTTGAGCATAGAAAAAGAATACAATAATGGAAATATTTTATTTCCAGGCAAATGAATACGATGAGAGGTAGGCATTACTCAAATTATAAATGTACACGTGTGATGCATTGGATCCATGATAATGTTGACAAAAGAGGAATGTTCCTCGTGGAACCCACGTGCCAGCACTTCACTTGCGTGGCGACACTCTGCGCCTTCTTTCCTCCTCTTCATTAATCCTGGTTTGATTTTACATATTGGGCTGTGCGTGGCATCCGATATTTTTTATTTTACATTTTCACAATTAGATCATTAACAGATAAACGCACTGTATTATTTCACCTCATTCACCTATAAAAGTTGCGCAATCCACCACGATCGTTATCAAAATTAAGTTTTTTTTCTTTTAGGATTTACATCAATATTATTTTAAACTGAGTTAATCTCTCTAATTTGAGTAAAATAATAATAATAATAATCCACGTTAAAAAAATTGATTTTTAATATTTATACCACATATCATATTTTGAAACTAAGAAATGAAGTGCTTGATACAAATATTGCTTGAATTATTAAACAAAAAAAAAAAAATCCCTTATAGAAGGTAAAGTTGCAAAATGCAAATAATGAACCTCTGGGTGGTTGTTTATCTGATATCTTATAATAGATATCATAGAAGGTTGGTTTTAAATTATTAAGAGAGATCTTATAATAGAAGGTTAGTTTTAAATTATGTTATTAGTATATATTATCAAATGAAAATCTTTTGAGTTGAAACTTGTATATATAGATTGTCGCAGACATTATATATTTTGTATTTAATTTTTAATAAGTAGAATCTGAATAATTAAAAGGAAAAATGAAAGTGACATAACTTAAGTTTTTAACTATTTGATGAATAAGATTTTGATAACATGTTAAAAAATTATTTTAATCTAAAAATTTAAGTTATTAAATGAAGTTTTAAATTGATTTTATATTAACTCTCCAACGTTTTTCATGTGAATATTCAATGGCCTTGCAAAAATTTTGATCGAACTTTAAATAAAACACATGGTAAACTTTAAGGTGCTAATTAATGGCTTGTTTTGAAAAATAAAATAAAATACGAGTGCTAACAATAGAAAGGAAGAGTGGTCTGAGTGTCTGCAAAGATGGATGCATGAAAATAATTTTCATGCTGAAAGATTGGTGGTGTGGCATTGATTCCTCAAGTAAATGCTATGGGATCGATTTAATTTTAGTAGTTTTTAATCCATTGATTCCGATCTCATGATCGTTATTATTAATTAGTTTGACATCTTAAAAAAAACTGGATTAATTACATTATAATTGATTAAATTTACAAAGTAAGCAATTACTAGTTAGTGTTTGAGCATGTTTTGGTACGTAATAAGCATAAATTTACAAATGTAAATAAATTAAATTGGAAATCGAAATTGAAAAGAAAACTAAAAACATCAAATAACCAGCAGAATTTTATAAGTTTTTGATCAAGATGAAAATGGACTTGAGAAATTTAAAATAATTAATAACATACGGAGATATCTTTTGCCTTATCCAAAAGAAGAAGAAAGACTTGGTTAAAAACTTTAAATAGTGCATGCATGAGCCATAATAGAAGGGCAATTATTTATGTGTGTCCATTAGCATCCAGACAATAGCATTGGGATATAAAAAACTGTATAGTTATGTTAGGTAACCAGTCATTCCATTTTCTATCTCCATGCAACTTGTCTCCTCTACTTCTCTCAAATCATTCTCTAGGGTTTTAGCAAAACTCCATCTCCAAGAAGCCAACAAATAATCACTTCCCATCACATTTTGCACCCTTAGGGTTACATGGGGCTGGTCTATAAATCATGGACAAAATTTGTGATTTAGCCATATATATATGGTGGCATTTTTATCATTGGGAATCAAATCACGTTACATTTTCATTGTCATTGCTGGATTTTTCAAAGGCTTTATTCGAAGGCTGTAGTGGTATTAGATCAGAATCCTATGTTGTTGAAAAAGAAAGAAAATAGTGTATGGTTGGGTCCATGCAACATTTATCGCTTAGGCCTTGCTGCTGTCTAGTTCTGCTGTAAGGAATATGCCACTTCTCTCTTTTCCTATAAAGCTGATAATTTGGACATTATGCTCTTGATTGATCTTTTTGGTTTTCCATAGAAGTGAGGGAACATTGCGGTCATGATATATGTATATTCACCATCGATTTGTCAGGTTGCATTTATCAAATTATCCAAAATGGATGCAATTAATGTTTGTGTTTTGAGTACATGCACAATGTGTTAATGTTAAATATGTATGTATCATTGAAATGATGTCTGAAATATTGGATTTATTATTATTATTCGTTATATTTATAAATAGTATGGTATTTTCAGTCTATTTTTTCATCAATAGATACCAATTTCATCATTCTCTTATTTAAATCAATATCGGAACACGTTTAATTTTTAATTTATTATTAAATTTAAATATACAAACAAATTTAACGATTTAGATGCACATCACCATTGGATTTAAATATACAAATAAATTCAATTATTTAAATATGTATTATCATTGAAATGATGTTTGGACCATTGGATTTATTATTATTTTTTGGTTATATTTACAAACAATAGGATACTTTCTCGTCAAATTTTTCATCAATTTATAAAAATTTCATCACTCTCCGATCTAAGTTAATGCCAAAATACGCTTAACTTTTAGTTCGTAATCAAATTTAAATATACAAACAAATTTAATGATTTAAATACATATCACCATTGGATTTAAATATACAAATAAATTTAATGATTTAAATACGAATTGTCATTAGGAAATTATGGGCTTAGTCTTAGTTAATACAAAAGGTAGTCCGAAGATACACAACTCTCTCTCTCTCTCTCTATATATATATATATATATATATATATATATACATATATATATATATATATATATATATATATATCATCATCATCATCGAAATGACCTCCGAACCATTAGATTTGTTTTTTTTTTTATTGTATTTACAAAGATTAGGATACTTTCGATCAAATTTTTCTATCAATCAAAATCAAGTACATCGCTCTTCAATCTAAATCAATATCAAAACATATTTAATCTTTGATTCACTGTTAAATTTATATATACAAACAAATTCAATGATTTAGATGCATATTACCATTGAAATGATGCCCCAAACACGTATGCATTGGCATTCTATAGACTCGTCCCAAATTATTTGATCCCCTTTTCTTTTTCGTTTTTGGCAAGACTTGGTACTTAAGTTCACTCTAATTCCCTTCCAATTGTCATGTCTGCACCTCATCCTTCAACGATCTTTAATTGCAATTGGGTTTCAAGCATACACAGTGAGTTAATGTTTTGAAAAGGGAAAAAAAAATGATTTCATAAGTGAACAACTTCTGTTCCAAAATGATAGTTTTTTTTTTAACTTTTTACAGATTTTAATAAACTTATTAATTATAATGTCATATCAATATTTTTTTTAATAATACCTTTTCTAAAATATTTTTTTTAAGAAGAAAATCTATCTAATCTAATCATGCATTGCCAAGTAAAGATATTTTAGAAAAATGCACTATTAAAAATTTTGACCAAACAGAACTTTTTTTTTTTTTTTTTGGATTAACATATATACATAAAAAAAAACAATCTCTCAAAGACTGAAAATATAATTTCACAGTGAGTGTGACCCTACTATACTTAAAGGGATGGAGACATACTAGTTTTAACCCGAATGAAAAAACGGAGTACTTTTTTGTTTTTTGGATTAACATACGATAGCACTTGCCACTTGCGATTATATGAACTAATTCAGTGTAAAAAAATAGGAAAGAGGTTCGGGACGTCAAGAGCACCGTTCGGCCCGGCTTAATATGGGCTCAGCATAGACTTCTTTTTCTCTTTTTTGGGGTAAAACATAATTGTTATAGCCACCATTTCCCTTCTTCATTACACTTGAATATATACACACACACCCACCACTCACTCTAGAGAAGAAATTGATGAAAATAACATAAATGGACAGCCACCATCAAGGGCCACGAGAGTCGAACGAGTTGATATTATCCAAGTTTTATCATAATTTTGACAAGTTCACAAACTCAAATAAAGGGTGTTGGACATTACTGTTTACCGACAATTCTCAAAGGGACCAAACCGTCCTTTGTAGTGCAATGCCTTTTTAAAGGGGATAATAAGGTAAACTTATCCTTGACATCCATGATTTCAACATTATATGTTTGTTTAGGTATGCGAATTGATTGGACAACTCTATTCGTACAAATTGAGAAAATCTTCCACCTCTCTCTAAAAACAAGATCACCTTATCTTATTAGCAAACAACAACACAAATAGACTCAACCAAGATCAAATCGTGTTCAATTCTTATTCAACTCTTATGGGTCACTCTGAACTGACTTATCTACAAGTGACCATGTCATTTTCTTGGTGGTTTCTTGTCAATTTGGGTTGTTATGATATTTTTCAAAGATTATATATTGCATAAATATTGGGTCAACAAATTAGAAAAAATAACTGCTATAAACTACTAATATTACATAACATGTTTAAACTATAACAACGGTAAACAAATGTTGATTTGTAAATTAGGTTTAAAATTGGATTCTTTTGACAAACATTATTAAGAATTTATTCTTAGAATACCTGAGACTATGTGTTAGAAAGTGCTCCTTCACAACCTTACTGTTGAAAAAAATTACATAACATGTTAATTTTGAAAAAAGAAAATATTTATAGAGAATAATTCGAATAAATTATAAATCAGTCTTTCTAGTTTTATAAAATGAATTAATTGTTTTAAAAATTAATTGATTAATTATTTGGTAAGTGTTAACTGTTATTAGTTTAATATTATTTTGTTTCAAAAAATATTTTTTTTTGTTAATCTTTTCAATTTTTCTATTGTTTATTTATAAAAAAAAGTTAAATTAAATAAACTAAAAAATAATAAAAAGATTAAATTATAAATAGATTTAAAAAGATAATAAATAACTAATTAATTATTAAAATTAAAAGAACTATTTGTTTCCTTAAAAAAAAAAAAAAGCTAAAAACACTAATTTATTAATTACTCACAATAATCCTCACCTTACATGTTCTCTTTTTGGGCCATTTGGAGGCCTCTATTTGTCTTGCTCTGTTTGGTTTTGGCATTTTTCTCGTGTAATGGGAAACATCAACGGATTTTTTCTAGATCTGCATGGCCTACATCATGGAGCAACTTCACTAGCTCTTATCATTCCATTTGGAAACCTAGCAGCTAGCTTTCTATTCTCCCCCACTTTTTTCTTAAATTGCCTCTTTTTTTTTTTATTTTTCTTTACCCTCCTACAGGGTGTTTTGATATAAAGGTGTTTGCGCTTGTTTTAGAAAAATCACTTGACATGTTAAATATTTTTGTATTTAGTAAACTAAGATATTTTAAATTTTAAAAAGATCTCAAATGTTTTAGGACATTAGATTACTTTAAAACCTAAGTACTCAATTCTCTTCTAAAACAATGGAAATTTGAGATGCTAAGGATTTTGATATTGTGAACTTATTTTTCCTCTTAAATGCCACCAATATTTATATTGAGTTACCTAATATATCTTTATTTTTACTAATAATTACACAGATGTTTTAAGAGACTGGTATATATATATATATTTACTAGGATATAAACGTAAACAACTAATATGTGTTTTGGTAACTTCAATTTAGTACTAAAATAATTGATATATTATATACGTTATGTGATTTGTTGGTAAATATATATTATTTACTTGATAGTGATAATTTTATAAAATTAAATTCATTGCTAATCTATATTAAAATATTAATTTTAATACAAATTAATAAAAATATTTATATTAAAAAAGATAAATATTTATTATCAAATTAGATATTTTAAATTTTAAGAATACAATGATAAATTTGTTTATATTTCTCATGAATTACTAAGAATGGATCAAACACAATAAAAATATATTATTAAAATTTTTATTTTCAATCAAATATAAATATCACAGTTTAAGAAAACATATAAGAATTCGCATTGCAATATCCTCTCAAGGTTTTCCTCCTCCTTCCCTGTAGCAGGAGGTCCCTGGCCCTCTTATAAACTATGGGCTTTTCTTGAAAACCTTTCTTAAAACTAGCTTATCTACCACTTGGGCCATGATCATTAAGGTAAATGGGCCTGGGTAAGGCCTGTAAACTTAATCCATTAACATGGGCTTCCTTACGATCATCATAGAAGCTTATCCCTCTTAGCGTCGCGTGGTATCCAGAGAATGTCTCAGTGACATGTCGTTTTCGATATTACAAGCAATTTGTTTTTTTCATAAGAATGATATGATATGACTTGCCATTCGCGAAACTAGTATTTTTTTTTTCAAAATGTTGAAGCGTATTTTTGGAGCAGTTTTTACGTATATTTTTCTATTCTTATCAAAGGTGATCTCATTTAGGTAGGCATTTATGATTGTTAAAATTTTACTACTTACAATCTAAATTTTGCATTTCAGTAAAAAAAAAAAAAAAATTCCTTTTTTACATTCATGACATACAATCTTTTGGATTGTAATAGACTAGATGGAGAAATTTTAAAACATTAAAAGAACAACTAACAATATTTACTTAATAAATTCATATAAAAAAAAAGTGAAAATCACATTCTGAACTATCAAAAATATAAAAATATTTTTATTTATTTTATTAATTTTCTTTCTTCTGTAATATAAAATAAATATTATTAGTTGTGTTTAAACTAAAATAAAATTTCTTGATTAAATCGATACATACAGAAAACATCAAGAAACTATGAGAAAAGTAAATGCAGATTTTTGAAAAGCCTTTGGTTTATGTAACCTTTTTCATCAGCAAGACAAAAGAGCGTTGACCATCAGCCGGTGCCAATAAACCAAGGAATTAGTACTTATTAGGCATACCACAACAAGACATTTTTCACACAATTAAGCACATTAAAATAAGAGTCTTTTGTCCTTACCACAGATTGATGCCTCTTAAACTTCACAACTCTGAACCCTGAAGGCTGCAAATGGATCACTGCAGCAAGAGGCGGTGCCCCAGCCATTTTATGCCAGTCCTCTGAGTTTGAGCATCCCAATGCATGTCTACTTTAATCCAATAATTTAGATTTAGAATTCGTTTTTTATTGCATTTAAGAGTTTTTCATATTGGTGTTTTTTTTAATCATGTTTTAACGACCAAGACCAATGAAAAATACTTTTTTTTTTCAAATATCATTATTTTATATTTGAGATAAAATTAATAATATTTAAAGCAGAATTCGTAAAATTTAATTCGTTCTAAAAATATGATATCAGAATTTAAATCTTATATATTGATAAAAAAATCATAAATTCGTTGGTTTTGAAAAACACTTTAATAACCATCAGTTTTTTAAATGAAAAAACAGTTATAAAATAAAACCCAAAAAAATTAACATAAGCAGATATCAATAATTTTATATTGTTTTATTCATAATACTTGGCAATTAATTAATAAACGTCCATGAGCTCAAATGGTAGGCTTTCTTATCATCAAATCATAGACTTGATTGGGCTCATTGCTGATGACTGATGAATACAGCAACTCCCCAACCATATATAGTACAGATGCTACGTATTTTTTGTATAAATGAAGGAAGGTCAACGTTATGGAAGCAAGTTAATTCAAAGTTGAGAAGAGAAACCAAACCCATTAAATAAAGAATAAATTATAAATTAGTCCCTCTAGTTTCTATAAAATAATTTACTAGTCACTTTATTTAAAAAAAACTAATTATTTGACCTCTTTTTGTTCATTTTATGCTCTTTTATATTTTTTTTGTTTTAGTAAATAGAAACATAAAAAATAAAAAAAGATATTACATAAATAATGATGAGAAGAAATATTTTTATATTAAATTAAATGTGATTAACACTAGTTAACAAATTAAATAATTAATTTTTAAAACAAAAACTAATTAATTCGTTTTTTGGAAACTAGAAGGACTGATTTATAATTTATTTTTAAATAAAAGCAGTTAAACCAACCCTTTCCATATATTTCTTATGAATTCGTTTCCCGCTGACAGATACCTACCACACTGAAGGAACCCTCTCAACTTCCCGCCTGAGCTAAACCAATTTCGTTCAACCACCTCTAGACAGTAACACCGCACCACTTCTCCTATTTAATTAGCTTCCCTACATATACAATTGCAGCTTCAAGAAACATTAACCATATCCAACTCTCTTTGTCTTTAAGCCAAGACCAGCAAGCAATTAAGGTTGTGTTTAATTTGTTGATAAGTAATTTATGGGTTATGTTTCTTCATCAACTGCGTTGGCAGAAAAGATTTCTTGGTACTGTGCTTTGTTGATGGCACTGATGCTGGTTTTGAGCTGCTGTGAAGTGAGTGAAACCGAGTTGGCCATGATTGGGCACCCAAAGTTCTTTGAGAACAAGCCATGCGATGAGATTTATGTGGTTCGAGAAGGTGAGACTTTACATACCATTAGTGAAAAATGTGGGGATCCTTATATCGTTGAGGAAAATCCACACATTCATGACCCAGATGATGTTTTCCCTGGCCTGGTCATCAAGATTACCCCTTTCATCGATAGGTAATCAACTCCAGGTGATGTTTCTTCTCTGATGAGATAGTCTGTGTAACTGCTTTTAAATGTTTATCTTCATGTAATGTTTGCAAAGATACAAGTGAAAATCATGGAGGGAGCTGTGTATATTTATTCTCCCTTTGTACTTGGACACTTAGTGGAGCCCCAGCTTGTCCTCAAGAAATCAACGGAAGAAAATTTTTACAGTATCAATAGTTCCAGTTGAGGAAATTAATCATATCTGTGAGTTAATTCGATAGATAAATATTTGAGATATGTCGCGCAGTTTCACAAGAAAAAATGATCGCTAGATTGTGAGATTTTCCAGTTCAAAAATAAATTATTAGCTCCATGATTATTTACCGTAGCACACAGCAGAAGGCCAGCACCTCTCAGCCTGGCAAATTTTTGTTTTTGGCAATAAATAAAATTCTGCAGTCCACAATTACCGATTAAGCAATCCGAAGGTTAGCATTAATAATTAGTAGTTAATAGAATAGAAATTAGAAGTCGCATTATCGCAACCAACCAATTTTTTTTTTTAAACTCAAATACTCTTAAAAGAGAAATTAAACGGGTGACTTCTTATAAATACAATAAGTTTGTTAACACTTGACTAAAAGTCTATTAGTTCTTACAATTTATGTTTGTATACTTACGTTTATTGCAGGAGTATCCATCACTCTGTACTATTAAAACACATGTACTAATTAACAACCATATATTAAAATTGATATAATTTTCATTTTTATTTACATATATTTTTTCCATTTTCCTTAATCATAATTCATATGAATCATGTCAATTAATACATGCATCTCAAATTAAGAGGATTGAGTATAGAATGATAGGTATTCTTTAAACATTGGAGTTATTTTCGATATATTATGGTATCTGAAAAACAAAATATTATGGAGTACTTCAAAAATACACAATTCTCAATGCTTCTTCCACTAATACTCAGCCACCTGGAAAGATTGCCATGCCAGATTAAAAGTGGACTAACATTGACTAAAAAAGAAAAACTTAAGCTACAAAATTTTAAAATTTAACGGTGAAAGAAAAACAGTGTACTGGATAGTTTGTCTTTGTGGTTCTCGATTTCCCTTCTTTTGTGCGCATATCTTTATATTCCAACGCCATTAATCTTTACAGGCCCACTTCAGCTTAATCCTTTAACCCACAATTGCAGAGTTTCCACATCAATTTAAGCAACAAATTGGCATGCATTAGGAGTTTACAGTCATCTCTAGAGTATTTCCTTCTAACGTCCACATCAATGGAACGAGCTTCGTGGGAAAATTGAATAAAACAATCAATGAAAACGGTAAATCAATAGCATAAAACCTATCACCATCTTGGTCATAGTTTGGTGGGACTGGTTCTCTGCAGCAGTCTTTCTCAACATTCAAAGGGAAACTCAAAAAGTTCAAAAAACAAAACCAAAACTCAAATCTCCTAAGAAAGAGTTGAGATTTCATCACCTTCATATTGAAGAAGCCATACAGTGAAAGTGACAAAACTTAAATAGCAGAGGTTGAAAGCTCAGTATTTAAAGTATAGGGTTTCTATCGACCATTTGATTTAGGGAGACGATATTGTCCAATTGGGTGAGAAGATTCATCTTATTTTTTAAATTCAAACTAGTTTGAAACTTTGTTAGCCAACATTTTCTTTCACCCGTCTGTTAAAAGTTTTTTATTTTAATATGATGTGGCAATCTATAAACATGGCTTTAGTATTAGTGGAAGGAGTACTGAGGATTGAGCATTCCTTAAGCACTGAAGAGCTAGAGATTTTTTTCGTGTCTTGACGGTCTTGTTATCGATGCATTAAAAAAATTTAAAAAAAAAAAAAAGGTTTACCAAAATGGGCCAATCCTAGTAAAGAAAAAGAAATAGATGACATTGAAGAAAGCAGATAGATATAAAAAAAAGGATAGGCCAGTACCAACAGATAGCCCAACAATGAGAAGAGCTTGATTATAATGGGCTATACTATGTTTGGCAGGAAGCGAAGATAACCAATTACATCAATCATTAGTTAATGGAGAAACCTCAATTTGGTATAATCCTGGTTTACTCATTCTCAATCACATCCCAAACCTATCAATTTTATCAATTAAATCCCAAATATTTCTCATATTTCTCAACCGTATCATTTTGTTAATTTTTCTTTTAATAATTTGTGACGAACGTGCATATTTTATATGCTAAAATGGTGTTCATTTAAAAGAAATTTGACAAAAAGTTGATGAAAATTAAGGTTTTCATCCTAATGTGCATATTTATGCACTAAAATGACATTAATTTGAAAAAAAAATGATCAATACCAACTACAAGACTTGATTGAAAATTTTTTTGAACCGCACAGAACCTAATTGATAAATTTTATAGGTTTGGGAATCAGTTGAGAACAAGTATATAGATTTAGGACTAAATTGAGGTTTCCCCTTAATTAGTCTATAGTATAACAGACACGAAAATAAATAAATAAAAGCGTTACTATATATATATAGGATAAAAAAAAGGATTGATATTCAGATTAGCTAGAAAATAAGAAGTTATGGATGGGTGGAACAACATACGTTTGACGTTCAAAGTTGCATTCATGGCCATTGCCCAGACAATCACCGTAGAAAACCTTAATGCGTATGTTGACAGTTCGTTTCGAAACTGATGGCTTTTGGAAGAGTGATGTTACATATCAGGAAATTTTTATCACAAAAAACACAAATAGACCTCAATGGCAAGATGTAAGATGATATTCCAAGTTTCTAGCTATTTATTTTCTGAGCCTCTCTGTGTTGTGATGTCGAGATATGTATCATTTTCCCTTTTGGAATGCTTTATGGTGACTTATCTGATTTGGGAAGTGGAGCCACCTAATAAACCATCTCCACCATTAGGAAGAGACAATGTAAGAAACAAGCTAACAGAAATCGTTCCAGGATGAAATGGGTAGCCTACCACTTAACAACAAGAACATAGATAGAAATCATTGCTTAAATGAAATTAATGGCATGCTTTATCCTGAACTACGACTGGCTCTGAAACAAGGAAGAAAACACAAGTGTATCTAGAACTGCCAGGATTGTCATTGCCTGTTTTCCAATATAAACATCGAATACCTGGATTGAAGATTCAAATACAAAGCTGCAGCAATAAATCTCAAATCTCACCAGTTCCAAGAGGTTGCCTAGACGTGTCACCAGAGGCCCATGCTTGATAGTCTTTTACAAGCTGCGAAATTATTAAAGCAATTAATGTCACGAAAAAGTAACCATTCCCATCGAACAGATACGAGTATAGAGAAGGTGAAAAGGGGATAATTCAATCCTAGATGATGGTGGGAAGATGTAGAATTAGAGGAATCAAATTGGTATATCCAGGTTATGGAAGCACTTTTACATTGTTGTAAGATCTTAATCACATTATACTTCATTTACTAATTGACGAACAAGATTATCATCAGACAGAACAGAAAAATTTGTGTTGTTCTGAGAATGATCCCTTATTCCCTTCCTCTAAGTATATGTTGCTGGGATTTGTTCTTTCATATAATCCCCTGATTCTCATGATGGATATCTCCTTTTAATGGCCATATGGAATACAATGAAATCAATTTCCATGGGGTGAGACTACCGGAATTCAACCTGGACCAGGAACTTCAAGACTCCCCCAAATAGTGAACATGTAAGGGTTTAACCAAAATGAGGTACTACAAGGCTAAATACCAGATCTGCAACTAGCAAGTAGCCTATTTCATTCTTCATAAGTTGATTTAAATGAGATTTCCTCAAACCTGTGCCATAAAGCGGGGAAGCATGAGTCCAAGTATTTGTTGAAGGATTTGGGTGCCAGTCGATTCTATTGCTTCAACTGGAATTGCTCTAAATGCAAAAGGAACCTCGATGCTAACCTAGAACGAAACACGATGAGTTTAAAATTAACATCTGTTTACACATGTCCATCTACAATATTGAAATCATTATAAAACACTGCACTACAAGCAAAGAACACTTTGCCAAGTACCTCAATGACTGCATCTGAAGTAAGCCGTTGTATTGTAGAGTTGCTTGGGTTGCTATCACAAGAAATTTGGTTCACCATAGAAGCTGCATTCCCACACCAAATCAGTGTCAAAGCATTCCTGAAAAAAGCATTTATAATAATAAATTTAGAAATTTAATTGCTAACATTTATACATGGTTTTTTTCCAGAAGAAAATCTGTCACCCTTTGCATTAGTCCAGCCAAAAAGATCACATACATTACGGCCAATTTTCCTGCTAATAATTTTTGTCATGTGCAACAGTCAAGGTTTACAGAGAGAAGCTATTTTCACTATGACAGATGAATTATTAGAGTGCCCCTAACTTCATCAGCTAAGCTACAGAAGTTATTAAAGACATGGTGTTGCTGTTGTGTTGGTACCTTACTGGCAGCCAAGCATCCTCACAAGCAGTGGAGTTTATAGTCAAGGACAGAAGGGTTTATAAAATAAATCTCAGAAACCAATTTCTAGGAGATAGTAAATCACCTTCCTCTCCTCTAACTTAACAATACAGCATTTCCAATATTTTCTCGTTATGCCTGAATTATATTCATTTTACCCAAAAAAAAAAAAAAATCTCGTCAACAGTTTGCTAACATGACCGCTTGAGCAAGCCCAGGCTAGTGTGAAAAATATTCGAAAAGCACATTAGTGAAATTTATTTGCTGAGCATTTCATTCTGTACAGCAAAATTTAACAATTCATGTATTGCAAAATTTCAAAGATGCATTTCCTTTCCAATTCCAAACAATTGATTTACAGCATCCATCCAATCATAGCTTGAAACTAACTTCCAATTGAACACGACAATACTGCACATTCTTAAAGCTATAACACTAAAAAATTAACAAAACCAGACTTATACTAGGTATAAACAAGAGAAACCTAAGGAAGACAATTATCATATAAGCATTGGCAAATGACCATTATACTAGCACATTTCCAGCCCATCGCACAATTGCTTTACTACACAAAGAAATCCAAATTAATCCATGTTATGCTAGCTGGGAAACCCAAACAGAAATCCTTACCATCAAACTTCTCATTCTGGGCAACCACAATCGGCGAACCTTCAAGCTGCCAGTACCAGCAATCAACAACCAAACAAACAAACATCAATACATTACATATCTACACGCTATGAAACTTCAAATACCAGCCTCAAAAACAACAATGCGATAATCACAAGTATCACCATATTACCTTACAGGACAAGAGCTTAATGCAACAACCATTAGGCTGCTCTTCAACTCTAACAAGCAAAACAGGGCAAACTTCAAACGCGAAAAACTTGAACCTATACACATCACACCTAAACGTGTTGTCGTCTACCCTCTCTATTCTCTCTGCATCCAACACTGAGTACTGGCTAGCTGGCAAACTCATGTACTCCCCTGCAACCTCAACATCAAAATCATTACAAAATCAGTTCCTTATCCATTTTAAAATATTTAGCTTAAAAGATCAATCCATCCTAATATTACTTAGAGGGCGCCCGAGTTGCCGGACCGAAACGGACTCTCTACGTCTGGCGACGAATTTCGCTTTGGGAGTAGAACCAGTCGAAGCACGAAGCGCGCGTTTTGGAAATTTAGTTACCCGTGAGGAGAAATCTAGAAAGTGCTTGGAAGTGAGAGAATTTCTAGGGTTTTTGGATCTGAGAGAAATGGAACCTGTGCTTATAGTTGCACCAGAAGAAGAGCAATTTAGTGCCATTAAAATTACCGAAAATTAAAGGATTGCAAGCTAGTGTGTTGTTGAGGATGATAAACTAGGAGTACTGGTGAAGGATAAGAATACGAGTGGTTCTACGGATAACCAGGCGCAACTTAGACCCACGCAATTTCATTTTCCTAAGCTGCTCCAGAAATTTTATAACAGGTAGTGATAGCATTTGATTGTGGGCCATTTTTTAGGTTGATAAAGATGACATGAGGCGTAGATTGGAAAGATTACGTCATGTTTTCCTAAGAGGCGCAAATAGCGTTAAGATCACAATCATTCAAAACGACGCCGAGTTAGTCTCTTCCGTCTTTTTTTATTCATCGAATAGAACAGATCAGAAACCAAAGAATTAATCCAAATCCGAAAACCAAAAAGAAGTTGAAAAATCGAATCAATGAAAGATGTATTTCAAGAACAAAAAATTAATTTCCATTCAATAAAAGAAAAAAGCTATATCAAATTCATTCAAATCATAACCTAATTACATTAAACAGAAACCCCAATTCCAACAGAAACCACAAAAGACGCAACAGACCCTAGCCTTCTAAGAGCTTGTAAACTTGGTAACAGCCTTAGTCCCTTCAGAAACAGCGTGTTTGGCGAGCTCTCCAGGCAAAACCAATCTGACGGCAGTCTGGATCTCCCGAGAAGTAATTGTGGGCTTCTTGTTATACCTAGCAAGCCTTGATGATTCTTGAGCGAGTTTCTCAAATATATCGTTGATGAAGCTGTTCATGATCCCCATAGCCTTGCTTGAGATCCCAATATCAGGGTGTACTTGTTTCAAGACCTTGAAGATGTAAATCTTGTAGGTCTCAACGCTCTTCTTTGCCTTCTTCCTCTTCTTGTCAATGGCTCCTCCTTCTTTGGGCAACTTCTTCTCTGCTCTAGGCTTCTTATCAACAGGCGATTTCTCTGCAGCCGCTGGCTTTTTCTCAGCCGGCCTCTTCTCTGCCTTGGGAGCCATTTGAGATTTTGAAAAAGAGATTGAAAGGAGGGTTTCTTTAAAGCGAGGGAAACGGAGGTTATTTTTTAAGAGTTCTGTTGAATTGGCTTGGAGTTAGGCGGTTGTTTATATAGTGAGAGGAGGTGAGTGGTGATTGGTTGGTTTTGGTGAGACGCGGATCGATGACGTGGATGGTTGGATTTGCGGGCATTTGAATGGACCGTGAGATGTTGGTTTTTTATTAACTTTTGGAGACCAAATGTGAAGCACGAGGAATGAGCGAATCCCTCCTCGGCTCAAGTTCAAGTTACTTCAGGAAGAAGTGTAGGCCCGCCCAAGAGTTTACATTCGTCATTAGCTCTGAAGGGCCTGGTAAGTAAAAATGGGCCAACAGTTACTTAAAAATCCAATTAGAAGAGGGAAATGGAAGGATCAGGAGATAAATTAATGATTTAAAAACAGACATGGCAAGAATTAAAAAACAAATCTTAAAAATATATTTTTCGTACGATTGTATTAAAAAAATTAATCTATAATTAATCTATAAACTTGTATAAAAATAAATAAATAAATAAAATAAAATTTTATTCTTATTTAATGTTGGTTGAAAGATTATGTTTTGAAAGTATATATATAATCAATAATGTTTCAATAAAAACTATATTTGAATCATTGGTTTTTTTAAATAATTATTTTATTTCAAACAAATTTATTTTGTATTGTTAAAAAACTTATATTCATAGCAAATAATTAATGCTACAAGTGAAGATGCATAATTAATTTTTAATAACACCGATAATTCAATAGGTTTTTTTATACATCATGATCATATTTAATAGACTGAGACAAATTATCTTAAATATGTTTTAAAATTTTTACATTAAAATAATTATATATTTATATATATTCCATTGTGGATTAAAAATTCTTAGAATTCATGATATTTATTATATTAATTTATTTTTGAAAAAAGAGAAAAAAATTATATTTATTAGTAAATAAAATTTTATATAAAATAAAAAAATTAATTGAATGAGAATTTTCATAAAAATAATAAATTCAAAAAATAAATGCGAAACAATAAGAGTAATATAATCTGAAATATATATTAATCTTAAAATATAAAAAAAATTATATACATATTTTTTATTATCCTCACGTTGCATGCAAAACACAAGAATCGCGCTCGATCTTTCATAAATTTTGCCTAAAATTTGTTAATTAAAAACAAATTAAAGAAAAAGACACAAAAACAAAGGTGTAGGCTCGCACGCCTGGACCTAGAGCTCCTGGCTTGAGCGCTTGGGCAAAATATATAGCCAGGCGCAAAATACACCATTTGACTCCGAGACACGTGCAATGGGAGAAGAGAGGACAATGAGATTTTTTTTTTTTTTTTTTCTAGCTATCAAAGACACCAGCTTTAGCAAATCGAGTGGCCAAGCGCAGGCCACGTCAGCATATAAAAAAGCAGCGATTCAAATGCATGCAACATAGCTCAGAAAATTTTATAATATTTAAGATGAGCCAACGGGTATATACAGTAATTACTTCATAAAAATATTTAGAAAAAAGAGATAGATATATAAAATTACATTCCAATTCATAAAAAATGATTAAAAAAATTTCACGTTTGCTCTATTTTTTTTTCTCTTTCTATTTCTCTCTTCTGTTTTTGTGGTTAACTCTTTCCTCCAAGTGGTTATATGAAATAACTATTTTACATACAATTAGTTACTCATTGAGTATTATAAAATTTCTTAAATCGCTTCTCGGGAACGTAGAGTCAGAATCTATAACAAGAACTTCTTCATATGCTTAATTTTTTTGTTAATTTTAAAAAATAGAAATTGAAAAGAAAAGAAAAGAAAATTAAAAATTAAACCTTGTGAAATAAAAGTAAAAAATAAAAAAGTAAGAAAATTTAAATTATTGGTAGAGGGATTTTTTATACATTTTTAAATATTTGGAAAAAAAAGGTAAAAAAAAAAAAAGTACAACAATAAATCACTAAATCAGTATATATGCGACGGGTGTTCAAATTGATTTAAGTTGACATGATTTTCAATTTCTAAAAGCAAAACATGCTTGAAAAACGAAATTTAATTTTTAAAACATTTCAAAAACTAGAAAAAAAAATTTAAAAATTAAAAGTAAAAAAAATCCAAATAAATACAACTACTTGTATTTAATTTTTTACTTCTCAAGTATGGGACATGTGTCCTATTTTTTTCTAATATTAAAAAAAATAAAAAATCTAAATGAATCTCTCTATTAATTAATTTTTTAAAAAATATTTTTTATTTGTTAAATGTCATTTCATCAGGTAATTTCTTTTCAATTTGTGAATCAATAAATTAATGTTAATAGCATTGTAGAGGAAAAAAATTAATTGTAAATAGAGTACATTGTGAAGACATTCTAATAATCATATAAGTAATAACAGGACATAATTAATCAATCCCCAGACATTGGGTATAATCAACGCAACCAGCGAAGCGGGCTGACATGTTTGTTAATAATCCTTGAAAATGAATTATCGCAAGCATCCAAATGGCTGAGAATGGAGAAAATTTGAGGGATAAAACAAATGGGTGCAGGACCATCATTGTGCTGCATTATTTATATACACCAAGAAATAATAAAACTTAGAAAGCAGGGCAGAAAAAGCAGCTAACAAAGGATTGAAAATGAAGGCAAGGCAATTTCAAAAGAGCACAGAATTGCGCAAACATAAATAAAGGGAAAAGGAAAGGGCATTATGCTGGACTTGAGAGTCAGATAAGATAAATTTTATAATACCTAAAAAATAACTAATAGTATGTATAATAGTAATTTTATAGATCTACTTTGAAGAAATATAGACACATTGAATTACATCTAATTATATCAAAAGCGATTAAAAGATTTATACGTTCGTTCAATGTTTTTAATTTTCTCTCTTTCTTGTTTTTTTCTTATTTTTTTATGTCTATTTGTTTTTATATATATGGAGTAACTATTATACATATTACTAATTACTTTTTAACTATTATAAAATTCCTCAAGGAGAGATAGAGTAAAATAACGAAAAAATTACTAGCAAATCGTGCGGCAGCAACAAAGGTACAACAGATATAGAAAAGAAATAACGGTTGAGATGCATGCAATAGAAGCGGTTGGTAGGACTGAGTCACTCTACAGGGATTTAAGTTTATATGAACAATAAAGAAACAATAATTTACCCATGTGTTTTAGTATTCTTGTAATGTTCAAACGAGAAGAATTTACCCCGTGTGTTTTGGTATTCTTGTAATGTTCAAATGAGAAGATCCGTGGCGGAGGAAAGTGTCCAAACGTTGAAGTGATGAGAGCAAACACCACTGTAAAGAAGTCGAAATGGATAGGAATTGAAAAGTGAATAAAATTGCGTGGCAAGGCTGAAGAAGCCAACGCCAGGTCTCAACTCTCAAGTAGACAACCTACTTACAGACCATATGAAACTTTTGAGACAACAGATAGCAGTAAACTTACCATTAGACAAAGCAGCTAAAATCTGTGTACAGATGGATGATTGAGATTAACTCCTAAAGAGATCGACTGTTTGATTAACCTATCCAATTAAGCCACTACACTTAAAAACAAGGTCAACATGGTTGAAGAAGACATGAGATTTCAGTAGCAAAAAAGGAGCACACAATACACAAAATGGCTGTTTCTGGGTTACCCTCCACGCATTAAAGAATATTACATAAATTACTGTTCTGTTTCTGTTCAGACAGACTGAAGCAACTATGAACTATCATTGAACTTTACGATTTGGCCCTCTTTACATGTATCTAGATGGTTGGTTTGGTAGTGCGCGTGGCTCCCGTTACTCGATGCAACACCATTCTCCAATTGTTTTTTGTAATATGTTTTAAAATATCATTTTTCATTTGTTCTCTTTTTCGCCTCTTTCTTGAGATTAGCCTGGAACATACTACTGGTGTTCTGCAATCTACAGCAAACTTTAAGAAATCCATTTAATGACAGCATCAGGTGGAGACTTGGCAAGATCATGAACTCTCCTAGTTCTGCCTTACATAGAACATAAATGGCAGCAGAGCATTATAGGATAATCTTAGCAGCAAAAAGGGAAAAACATTTCTTTTGCAAATTACACTTTTCCCTACAAAATTCATCACTCCTGTTAACAAATTCTCAAAGAATACCCAACCACTTGGACTTAGTTTCCACATAATACTATCTTTATGCAAGTTATTTGGAAAGATCACACCACAAACACCTTAGCATTAGAAGGAAGTCCACTATATTGAGATACACTCGAACCATCCTTCTGAACAAGAAAGCATTGAGGAAGCCAACTATTATCTTCATACATATTTCTAACTTATAATTGGAGTAACAAGCAGACATGAAGAATTACTTTATAGGACTCTAATCCCTGCCCATGAAACTCCCTAAAAATTCATAAATCTTAATCCCAGCCAATTCTCAGACTTATTAGAAATGTGCCCACAATTGTACAACGCAAGGGAAACTTGCAAAACCAGACAAGGACGTGGTATCTAAATCAAACCTTTTCAATGATTTACCATGCCCAATTGAAAGCATGCAAGAATCAGCTTAGATTAACAAGCTATAATGCCACAAAATTTAAACCAAAAAGAGCAATAAACTCAAACAAATTCCAGTCAGATTACAACCTACAAAACACCCCTTTAACAAACAATCTAAAACTATCTTACAGACACCCAAAGAGGACCAAACCACAAGAATAAATTCATACCATCAAACCCTAACTAACCCTAATCAATTAAAAAAAAAAACAAATTGAGACAAAATGAGACAGCACAAACTGAAATCAACGTCATTCAAACCCAATAATCAAAGACAATTTATGAACAAGATTCAAGCTTCATTGATCAAAAGCAAACTAGAACATCAATTACACTAAAATAAAAATCTAAGCCTTTACATCAACAGAAACCCTAATTCATAGATATTACCACAACAAAATACCCAAAATTCAGAACCCA